GCAAAATCCATGAAGAGTTTTTTTTCTTACAGTGGGCCAGCAGCAGCGTGTACCACCTTCTTGGAATGTGGTCCAGATTAGTAGCATCTGTCACATACTTGAAGGGTGATTCCCCAAGTCTACTCGATGAATTTGTATATAAAATTACAGAGGGATTTATCATCTCCAGATTCGATTCTGTGCAGGTATATAACACCGCTTATTCTGGTAGATTTCCCATTCTAAGTTGTAGTTTTTCTTTTTGATATGTTTCTATTTTACTCTTTCCAGGCTAGTGTCCCCGATGATCCTACTGAGCATCCTTTGGATAAAGTTGAAATTCTGCAGGATGAGCTGGATTGCTTTCCATACCTCTGCAGATTTCAGGTTATCCTTTTACTGGATTTGCTTTGCTACGACACCCTTGTTTTGTTAACATATTTCGTTGGATGATGCTTTATCTTAATACCATTGAACTGCAACTGAGGTTCTTATCTTGCAGTATGAAAGAATTGGCATGTATATAATTAACACAATGGAGCCGCTACTGCAATCGTATATGGTAAAGCCAGTGTTCGTATGTGTGGAGCTTATTGTTGTTCTGGCAATGCTTTTTGTGTCTTGATCGCTTGAGCTGTGTGATTGTGTAACAGGAAAGAGGGCAACTTCAGTTTGCTGACAATTCTGAACTGGCACTTATTGAAGCAAAATTGACATGGGTCGTTCATATTGTTGCTGCTATTGTTAAAATCAAGCAGTGCAGCGGCTGTAGGTAAGTTGCTATCCAATCTTGAGATTATTATTATTATTATTTTATATTTTTGCGTTTAGGTCTGTTTGAGGAAGAAAACAATATATGAAGATTGGAAATTAAATGTATGGTGCAGTGCAGAGACGCAAGAAGTGCTTGATGCAGAACTCTCTGCTCGTGTTTTGCGGCTAATAAATGCCATGGACAGTGGACTACACAGACAGGTATGACATCTGCTTGCCATTAATTAAACAAAATATGTGTAGATACTCTCGTTGGATTGCATAACTCTATAATTTAGTTAAAATTGGATTTAACCACGAAGATAGGAGTTACCTAAAGGTTATTCTGCTACTTGATGTTTGTAGCTTATGTTCATAATCATGTATAACCACATTATAAATATATAGTAAACCACATATATGAATAGAGTAGTGATCTTATCAAACGTTTTTGATAGTAATATTATGAGTGAACTGTATGTGATATTGTAATAACGTTCTGAACAACCCCGTGCTTCACGTGTTTTGTTTTCTTTTCTCCCAGTTGAATTCGCTACTTTTATACCATCTGTAAAGTAATCAATAACACATTCTTTTTGTGCAGCGATATGGTGAAATAAGTAAACAAAGGCTTGATCGTGCGATTCTTGCCTTCTTCCAGAATTTCCGAAAGTCTTACGTTGGTGATCAGGCCATGCATTCATCGAAAGTAAATGCAAACTTGTTTCCTTTTTATATACTTTTTTTGTTTCGTGTCTATTCCTGATACTATGGTTCTGTTGCAGCAATTATATGCCAAATTGAAAGACCTCATTGGACTCGATGATCATCTTGTGCTGTTGAACGTTATTGTTGGCAAGATTGCTACAAACTTAAAATGTTATACACAGGTAATCTTGTGTTCTTTACCTTTTCTGACATGCCGCTCCAAGCATCAAAATCACTTTTTCTAAAAACGATCTGTCTTTTGTTTCTTAGAGTGAAGAAGTCATTGGTCACACGCTAAGTTTGTTTCAGGAGTTGGTATCTGGGTAACTCGGTTACTACCTGTTTAAATTAATGTTATATTGGCTTATATGCATTCCCATATTGAACTTTTTGTTTTGGTTTTTGCTTATAGATATATGACCGGGAAGCTGCTTTTGAAGCTGGACACGGTGAACTTTATTATTTCTAATCACACTGTATGGCTTCTCCAAGAACTCTTCTCTTATGGACATCATGTAATGTATCACCAGCAATAATCTCAGTATGTGATTGCCATATTCCAGAAGGAGCAGTTTCCATTCTTAGAAGAGTATAGATGCTCTCGCAGCAGAACAACGTTTTACTACATTATTGGCTGGTTGATTTTCATGGAGGATAGCTCAATAAAGTTCAAGACTTCGATGGAACCACTTATGCAGGTTATACTCCATTTTATTTCAGCATCTTACATTTACAACAGTGATACTGTATGTATCTGCCCTGCATACTGTTCTCTGATTATAATGATAGGTTGCATATTTTCTCATGGAAGAAGGGATGCATACCGTCCTAATTGTTATGGTGTAATGGAATCTATGTTCTTGTATATTGTTCAAGTTGCTGTAACAGCCACTAAACTACTATTAAATTCAATCATGTTAGGTTTTCCGCACCCTGGAATCAACACCAGATTCGATGTTTCGCACTGATGCTGTGAAGTTTGCTCTGATCGGATTGATGGGGGCTTTAAGAGGAATTTCAATGGCTAGTAGCAGGTATTGACATCATCTAGTTACTTTTGACATCCATACATTTTATAATCTTATAATTTACTTAAGTTTTCTCTTTTGATCTCAGCAAGAGAAGTTATGGTCTTTTGTTTGACTGGCTTTATCCTGCACACATGCCACTTCTTTTGAGAGGGATCTCAAACTGGTTCGACACACCAGAGGTATTTAGTTATACATTATACACTGTTGAATTGTATGAAAGATCACTGACCTAATAAATAATAATAACCTGAGTCCACTTATATCTGATTAATAAGTAGTTTTCACTCTCTGTGAATTTACGCTTTTTACCGTTATTTATATGAATAGCGTTCTTTGTCTCAGCTTCCCTTCTTGGATTGTTGATGTAGGTTACGACCCCATTGTTGAAGTTCATGGCTGAGTTTGTGCATAACAAAACTCAGCGCATTACTTTTGATTCTTCTTCTCCAAATGGCATCCTGCTTTTCCGGGAAGTCAGTAAATTGATTGTGGCTTATGGTTCAAGGATCTTATCCCTTCCAAATGGTGCGGATATATATGCCTTCAAATACAAGGGGATCTGGGTTTCACTGACAATTCTGTCAAGAGGTTAGAACATGATTTTTGGACATTATAGAGCCAATGGGAATTAGTCTTTTGTTGTTTGTTGCTTTAGTTTATTATGTTATGGTATTTAATTATCATCTTATGGGCAGCGCTTTCGGGAAATTATTGCAACTTCGGTGTGTTTGAACTCTATGGGGATCCAGCTCTTGCGGATGCACTTGATATCGCATTGAAGATGACCTTAGCAATACCCTTAGCAGATATATTAGTATATCGCAAGGTATGTCTGCCACTGCGTTTTTTACCGTTCAGATGCCTTCACTAATTAATTTTCAACGCATCGATTATTTTTTTTGGCGGCTTCACTAATTAATTTTCAATGCATCGATTATATTTTTTGGCTTTCACTCGATATGTTTTTGCATTGCGTTTTCAGCTTACAAAGGCATACTTTGGATTCGTGGAGGTCTTGTGTAGCAGTCATATTACCTTCATACTGAAACTGGATAGTGGCACTTTTATGCATCTCGTAGGCTCCCTTGAATCCGGACTCAAGGGGTTGGACACAAGTGTTTCATCACAGGTGAGAGATTTGTAAAAAACTGTTAAATACCCGTTTATCATATTGCACAATGTCTTCTTAAGCACTGATATATATATCATCGTTTCAGTGTGCATTAGCTGTAGACAACCTTGCTACATATTATTTCAACAACATTACAATGGGCGAGGCACCTACTTCTCCGGCTTCTATTCGTTTTGCGCAGCACATTGCAGACTGCCCTAGTTTGTTTCCCGAGGTAACTCATCTCTCTCTTTTTGGTAGAATGCAACACGTTTAATACCTTTTTCTAAAACGGATTGTCCCGTACACGCAGATACTGAAGACGCTCTTTGAAATAGTTTTGCTCGAGGATTGTGGCAACCAATGGAGTCTCAGCAGGCCGATCTTAAGCTTGATTCTTATAAGTGAGCAGGTATGTGTATTTTTCTCTTGTGCAGTTTTCCCGAAGTGAGCCTTTGTTCATTTGTCTAACTCACTCCAACTGCTGTCACCAGATTTTCTCTGATCTGAAAGCTAAGATCCTCTCGTCACAGGTGATGATCCAAAAACTCTCTATTATTTACCCAAGTGTTACTTTTGTCTATGTATGCCTCAGAAATCTTGAGCCATTATTTTTATTAATGGTGCAGCCAGTGGATCAACACCAGCGACTCTCAGCTTGCTTTGACAGTCTTATGACAGACATATCGCGGGGATTGGATCCGAAGAACAGAGACAAGTTCAGTCAGAACTTGAACCGTTTCAGACTTGAGTTCCGCGTTAAATAGACTCAGACAAAACAGTCCCTTAGCCGCGGTCTACTTACATTAGGGGTCTCATCAAAATGACCCATCATGACATAGTGAATGATGAATCAAAAGTTTCCATTTGAAAAAAAAAATTCTTAAGGAGTTGATAGAATGGGGATCACAAAAACAGAATAACTCTATAGATTGTGGTTCTGTACATAGCTTTTAACATTTTGTCGTGGTTCAATGTTGGGATTTGTTTTGTCTCCTACCTAAAATACTAGCTCGTTAAAAAAAAGTTTGATAGGGTATCTTTCTGGCAAATGTTGCGTGCAACTATGTCACATATTCTTTGTGTTTTTGGTAAAAACAAAACCTGAAAGAAACCTGAATTTTCGTATTTCGAAATAAGCAAACAGGATGAAGTGTTTACTTATCCGTCTTTCCTGTCAACTATCAAAGCATATATTGTTCTTCATCATTTACAGCATAAACATGCGTACACAGTTTTTTATAACATCGAAGGACGTCCTATATGGCGACGGCCATCCACGAGACCTATAACTAGTAATCACTGTAATTAAATTGGAGGTCCCGAGTAAATTTTTTTTATTATAAATACAACTAGAAATGTCTACAAGGAAGACCACCACATTTTTTCTTAACGTCAGCTCAACATAACTGAAGACAAATTATGGATCAAAAGGAGATTCCAAGAAACTTGAGAGACGACAACCTAAGCGAAGAAACAAAGACTCTCATCTCTCAACTTCAGTGCGAGATAGATACTCAAGGAAACAAGCTCTACAACTACCAAGAATGTTGGTACTACTCTGCCACTCTCCAGGGTATCCTCAATTTCCAGAGAAATTTCAAGCCTCAAGACTCCGATATTATCATTGCTTCATTCCCCAAATCAGGCGCAACTTGGCTCAAGGCTCTCACAGTTTCCCTCTTCGAGAGATCCAAACACTACCCTTCTTCTTACGTTGATCATCCTTTGTTATCCAATAATCCACATGCGCTGGTACAGTCCCTAGAAGCTAATCTCTATCTCAATAGCCAAACACCGGACTTGACGACGAACTTGTCATCGCCGAGGATGTTCTCCACTCACATGCCGTTTCTTTCGCTGCAAGAAACAATCAAAGACTCACCTTGCAAGATCGTCTATCTGTGTAGAGATGTGAAGGACGCGTTAGTGTCTCGTTGGTTTTTTAGATGCAGTTATCTTGGAAAAGAAGTAGATAGACACGTTCTTGAATCTATGTTTGAGTCGTTTTGCAGCGGAGTTAGCTTTTATGGTCCCTTCTGGGACCATGTCTTGAGCTATTGGAGAGGCGGTTTGGAAGAACCTAGTCGTGTCCTTTTCATGAGGTACGAGGAAATGAAAGAAGACCCTTGTGGTCAGCTCAAGAGACTTGCTGAGTTCTTAGGTTGTCCTTTCACTAAGGAAGAAGAAGAGAGTGGATCTGTGGACAAGATCTTGGAGCTGTGCTCTCTGCGTAGTCTCAGCGACTTGGAGATCAACAAGACTGGGAAAACGTCTAATGGCGTGGATTACAAGTTCTTTTTCCGAAAAGGAGAAGTTGGAGACTATAATAATTATTTCACTCCTGAAATGGAGAGCAAGATCGACACAATTGTCCAGGAAAAACTTGAAGGTTCGGGCTTGAAATTTTAAGTGGTTGTGGTTTGATTTGTACTTTTATTTGATGCATTGCGTAATAAAAGTAAACTCCGTACTTCCATCGTTATGTTCTTTGAATTGTTATCTTCTCTTCATGTATGATTAATAACAATATTCACATGCTACGTTCGTGTTAAAATATAGATGATATGCGGGTGTCTAACCTCGATTAGGTTTAACCAAAATTGAATTTATGTATCCGAAAGACGTACATAACCAAAGTTAAAATAATAAAAGCAGAATTTAAAAGGGAAGAACATATGAAATGAAAATGCAGGAGACTGTGAACATGAATTTGGCGAGAAGATAATGTGCACATGGGTAGATCAGCCCAAGTATTTCAATAATCAAATGTATAGTAAATACCATTTTAAAACCATGAGGTAATACTTCCAAGAAAGAAAAAAAATACTTTAGCAAGATATATATATTACAAACAAAATGTATCTTATTAATACTTTGTAGGTAATACAAACCAAAGATGCCTAACTAAATACATATAAATCTGCAACAACCAATATATTCTCTCAACAACCCACTAATTGCCAATCCTTAATGTTACAAAAATCCAAAACCCTAGCTTATATTCAATTTTTTTAAACAATTAAATATTCATCAGATTCCTCCAACAAGAACTTAGCTGGACCTATTACTATTTAACTAGCTTTTATTGAAAACTCACTAATTAGAGCATGTCCATCAGTGATACTGGGCATGCACGAATTCTTAGGCGAAATTTTAATTTTAATTCTTTTTGATTTTTTCAAAAAAAAAAAAATCGGCGAATCACGGCTTGACACGTGGCGAATCCGTGACGATCCGGGTTCACCACGACAAACCCACGCGCGCCGGTTTCACCACTTTATTCCTCGAAAATCGTGTGAACTCCACCTAAAAACCCCTAATGGGCATGCTCTTACCAGATCACTGGTTAATTGTTGCACGTGACAAGAATCCAAAACTTTAGCTTATAATTTTTTCCTTTAGAACTAAATTATTCATCAGATTCCTAGCATTTCCTGTTCAACATCTCAACTAATAAAATAATAAGGGTTTTAGTCTGTTGCCAAAATTAAAATTTAATTACTTTAAACAAAATATAATTAAAATAATAGTAATATTTTGCAATTTAGGTATTCAAAATGAGTTTTGCCAGCTGGAGATGCTCTCTAAACCTAATACTCATTCTATTTGAAAAGATCAACATTTTTAAAAAAAAAAATCTTTCATAAATTTATATTTTAAAGTTTCAATGCATTAATAAAATATAATTTTCAAAAAATGTATTTATTAAAATTTATTGGTTCAAAATTGTGGGAAATAATTGTTTACAAAAAAATATGCATTGATAATAAAAATTAAATATGCTTCCGTGGAGATTTTTTAAAACATACATTCTTTTGAAATGGGCAAGTTTTTACTTTAATCTTAGCGCTAAACGCTCATATGTAACTATATTGTAATGGTACGATCGTCCACGGTTAACAGGTCATCCACGTCTGTTCTTTCGGTCTGTGGGTCCATTCCGTTCTAACGGTCGGTCCGTTTATCTTTTGAAGGTCTGAAATCATGTTTTATGGACCCTACAATCACCGCTTGACATTTTCCCGTGTTTTGTCCTCACTTACATGGTATCACAAAATATGTCACCGTTTCTTTCACTACTCCAGCCTAAACACACTAACTCTGGAATTCTAAACAGATGTGTAACAGAAAAGGTAAGTAGACTTTGGTGACATATGTAGTCAAATCAATTCTCTTAAATCTTTTCATATACCACAGCTCGAGATATCACACATATATTTAAAACTGAGTTTAAAGCATTTTGAAGAAACTTATTTTTCTGTGACAACAACCAAAGAAAGAAAGAAAGAAAAAAACACATATTTTTGTAACAAAGGATATAATGGCTGAGAAGGAGCTTCCTATGCTGTTGAGAGACGATAACCTAAGTGAAGAAACGAAGAAACTGATCTCTTCACTTCCTACGGACAAAGACTCGCAAGGGAAGCTCTGCAAGTACCAAGGATGTTGGTATTACTACAACACTCTCCAAGCCGTCATCAACTTCCAGCAGAATTTTAAGCCGCAAGACACTGATATAATTCTCGCTTCTTTCCCAAAATCCGGAACAACTTGGCTCAAGGCACTCGCTGTTGCACTCTTAGAGAGATCTAAACATGAAGATGATCCTCTGAAGAACCATCCCTTGCTATCTGATAACCCTCATGGCATAGTACCATTCTTCGAGTTCGATATGTATCTCAACGGCTCAACACCGGACCTAACTAAGTTCCCGTTATCATCTCCAAGACTGTTTTCGACTCACATGCCTTTGCACACCGTGAAAGAAGCCCTCAAAGATTCTCCTTGCAAGATTGTCTACTTGTGCAGGAACGCGAAAGACGCGTTGATATCACGTTGGCACTATAGATGCAAGTATCAGAAGAAGGATGTGTCTAGAAGCATTCTCGAGTCCATATTCGAGTCGTTTTGCAGCGGGGTTGGCTTCTACGGTCCGATTTGGGATCATGCCCTAAGCTACTGGAGAGGAAGCTTGGAGAATCCAAAGAATGTCCTCTTCATGAGGTTCGAGGAACTGAAAAAGGAGCCTTGTGCTCAGCTGAAGAGGCTTGCTGAGTTCTTGGGATGTCCTTTCACCGAGGAAGAAGAAGAGAGCGGGTTGGTTGAGAAGATATTGAAACTATGCTCTCTTGAAAACTTGAGTGGTTTAGAGGTCAACAAAACCGGGAAAACGTGGACGAACGTGGATTACAAAAGCTATTTTCGTAAAGGACAAGTTGGTGACTGGAAAAATTATCTAACTCCGGAAATGGAGAACAAAATCGACATGATCGTTGACGACAAGTTAAAAGGTTCTGGTTTGAGTTTCTAAGACTTGTTATTTTGTAACCTTTTTCTTTCCATTGCCTTGTAATAAGATTATACTGGTTTACCTTCTTTTAGAACCGAACCTCATGTGTGTTCTTTGTTTCTTGAGTTTTTTTTTATTGGGTTAGATATACACCTAAAATTTCATAATAGACTAATTTGATGATTGCTTCATTCCTTAATGAAATAAAAACATATTCTTCATTGTTTTATTATATAAAAATGAAATGCAAAATCTTAAAAAAAATAGCAACAAGAGTTGTGCGGAACATAGTAGAGTATCAAAATGAGAACAAAATCAGAGACGTCTTCCCCTTCTACCATTCTTTCTGCGAGTACTATCGGTTGGAGTTGGAGTCACATCCTCTGGGAATATAAAAAAAAAGTATATATTATTAAAAAAGAGAAAAAATGAAATTAATTGTGCGGAATTACAACAAGAAAGGAGATAGATATGTTTAATTACCAATGCGACCAATCTTCATGCCAGAACGAGCAAGAGCTCGTAGAGCAGCCTGAGCACCAGGACCTGGAGTCTTGGTCTTGTTTCCTCCAGTGGCACGGAGCTTCACATGCATAGCTGTGATTCCAAGCTCCTGATATATACAAGGTAAAATCTCAATCAACTATCAAAAAAGAAAGTAACGTATAATATAATAAAAACCTTGCATCTTTGAGAAACATCTTGAGCAGCAAGCATAGCAGCATAAGGACATGACTCATCACGATCAGCCTTCACTTTCATTCCACCTGCCAACCAATTTTCACACTATCAACGGAAAATACAACTTTAACCCTAAAGCATTATCTAATATAAAAAAGTCCATCTAGTGAATTGTAAGAGGTAAAAATACAGAATAATGATGATATGTCTAAGGCCTTTTGCAAAATATAAACAGATAAAAAGGTTTGGAGACTTTACCAGTGATACGAACAAGAGTTTCCCTTCCAGACAGATCAGTCACATGCTGCATGCAACGGTGGCATAGGTAAAATTAATTTGAGTCTTATACGTTAGCTTTCAAGGAGTAAAACAAAAGATGATGATGATGATGATGAGAAACTTACAATGAATGTGTCATTGAAGGAAGCAAAGATATGAACAACTCCAAAGACTTGCTCACCATCACGAACAGCTGGTCCTAGAGTCACAGTTTCCTCCTTTGGTTCTCTTGTCTTTCTCCTCGACTATAATAAACACACAGAGTTAAAGAGAGAGCAAAACCAATTACTATCTACAAGCAAAGTACTATTCATGGAGTAGAAGATAGGTTGAGAGAAACTTGTTTACCATAGCTGCAGACGGTTAGGGTTTAGTGGATAGAGGATACGAAAGAGGATATATATATATATATATCACCTCGACGAACTACTTTAATAAAATTAGGGTTTAGTGGTAGAGGAAACGAAAGAGGATATATATAACCGCCACGAACTACTTTAATAAAATTAGGGTTTAGTACTTAAAGACCCTGGATCACGTAATCTTCCACAACTAAAATAAAAATAAAAATTGACAGCTGTGGGATTTGAACCCACGCCCTTTCGGACCAGAGCCTAAATCTGGCGCCTTAGACCACTCGGCCAAACTGTCTTGTTGCATTTACTGTTAACTTAATTGTTTTTAATTATATACAACGCTAAATAGGAAATGTCACGTACTTACATTCACGTGGCAGTTACATGAACAACGACTGAAGCTCAGATTGTATAAAAGCAACTGAGTTTTGATATAATTAAAATATTTGTATGTGATTAAGAGACTTCAGCATACATATAATATCTTTTTACAAGTGGAAAGAAGGGAGCCAAGTTTATAACTAAAAGTTGAAGTTGACAAAAACACCAGAAAATGTTAGAAACCAAAACACACACAAAAACAAGTTCTCCGATTCAAGCAGAGGAAGCAGCTTCAAGCTTGGGAAGAAGAGCTCTCCAGGCATCAGCAATACCATTTGCTAAGCGAGCTTGTCCTTTGGCAAACTGATGGAACGCGACTCCCATCTCTTCCATCCTCTGTTCTTGGAACCTCACTATCTCCTCGTTCATTCTCTTCACTATCCTCTCGAATCTTATCGTTGCTTCCTCACTTTCTGCTTTTATCTGCATTATTATTATCATCATCATTAAAGCACCAAACAGATGTCTTCAAGACAAAGATTAAGTTGTAGTTGTTGTTATCACCTCTCTGTATTCGATCTCAGCTTCTCCTACTTTGTCAGAACGTGTGAGCATCAGTTTGTCACTGCATTAACAACAGAGAATAGTTTATACAATGTTCCAAAGTAATGTTGTTTTGACAGAGAACAGATACGAGAGAGAAGCCAACATACAGGTTTATTTCCTTTAACTTTGTTGTTTCGGCCAATTCACAATGTTGCTTGAACGCAGTGGCTCTTTCTGTTATGGTTGCCTGGATAACACACAAAACGGAAACACGAGGGTCGTGTTTATTAATGTCTAGACATGTGTAGTGTCCAAAACCAGTAAAACGCAGCCGGGCAAGAGAATCCAATCCCAGAGGCGAAGGCTTGAGAACTCACCTTAATTGATTGCACATACCGAACATAGTCCTTCAAGGGTTCCTCGAAGTTCATCAGAACTTGTTGAGCCTACATATAGTGTAGGATAGATCGATAAAAGCATCTAACAGCATTAGAATAATAACATGTATGCAAATGTGGCAATATACATACACTAGCTATAACAAAAAAGATGAAAGAGGATGCTTTATTCCTAGTATCATCTAACAAATGAAGTTACCTCTTTCTGGAGCTTAATCGATACCAGTTCTGATTTAGTTCCTAGATCGGAAAATAACTTTCCTGTAGGTTCACCCTCACAAGCCCCAAGAAGTTTTACAGCCTTGCCAAAATCCAACAGTGACTGGCCCAACTCTGCCATCAGGTTAAAACGAAAATCAAATTTGAAGTTCTATCCCAGAGATTTGGAAAGGAAAAAAAATGAGGGAGTTTTTAATTTAAATTCCTTGTGATGTATTATTACTACCTCTATGCCTCTTGACAAGGCGATATGCATGCTTTTGAGCCTCGGCTAAGTGGTTCTCAAGTTCGAAAATGTAGTGTTTAAGCTTCTCATATTCAGGAGTAGTTTCTTCGACAGGTTTTTCTTTTCCGAGTACAGCATCACTAACTTTTGATTGCACATCCTGAAGATAATAGAGTACCTTAAAGTTAATAAAGAGCATGAAACATAGAGAGAAGAATGGAGGAAATCAAATAATAAATTCCACATTTAAGAAGTTCTGAATTTTGCGTTATGGATTTCCAGTCATGGTATAGCCAAGTAACCATAATGCAACTTCACCTTGTTCGGTATATAAACCCGTTAAACACTATCAGAGAACAATACTATACTAAGTCCAGTATTGGCTCCACAGACTAAAATTTAGACTGAACTTCCTAGTAGCATCCCAAGCTGTATCTGTCACTGAGTCTCGTACGATGTTGAAAATAGTTTTTACATGGCCAGGAAAAAGAAGGCTTACCCTGAACATTTGCATAAAATCTGCAGGCTTCTTATTGAATATACCAGTCTCCTGAAACCTGAATCTTTCCATTGTCTGAAGAGAAAGGTAAACTGTCAAATCCTAAGAAGATAACCTTCCAAAAATGCAAAGAACAGTCCCTCAGGGACGCAGTAAATGCAATTTATGAGCATTTCTAAGTAAACATGACGTGGAGGAAAGTAAAATGACCAGAACAACTGCCAGAAATGCTTACCTCTTCATCAGCTTGCAAAAAGGTCCTAAGATCCTCACTATGCTGAAGCTCAGGGTGGGATGCTATCCGATTAACAAATATATCCAATGCTGCTCTCCTCATTTCAATAAATTCAGCACTAAACCGGAATTTTTCTGCCAACAAAGAGTATTAAGTATTAACAAAACATATTGTTGACTCACCCCACTGTACTAAAAAAGATCTAACAGAGCATCAGTGCCAAGAGAGAAAAAAAGAAAACTACAATCATGATGGTAATCAGAAACCTCTTAACTGATAACAAACCTAAAGCTCATTGAATAAAGAATACCCAAACAACAAATTTTCCATACAATACTCTCTAATGTATATATTATAATCAACTTTACAGATTGAGAGATGTAAACCATTTCATTGACTCAAAATAGATAATGTGTTGTAAGTAGACAAGGAGCAATAAAAAAAAGATAGCTAATTTACCAACAGCACTCTTCTCAGGGAGAGGAGGAACAAAAACCCCCTTGAATTTCTCAAAGAGCCGATCCCTCAACCACACGAAATCACTGTACCGTCTGATCACGATCTTCTCCGGTCCTTGATACTCCGGCAAATTCGTCTTCCGGAGAAAAACAATAACAAATTCATCAGAAATTAAACCAAATTCACGAACACCCATACTCAAATCAAACCCTAATTCGAACTCTTTATCACACAATTCGACAATTTCTCCACAACATAGAAACCCTAATCTAAGAATCAGGGTTCAAGAAGAAGAAGAAGAAAGACCTTGGTGATGACTCGGTAAGAGATGTAAGCTTGGACGCCATTGCCTAACTTGACGGGATCGGTGACGGAAGCTGACAGATAAGGCTGAGAAGACGGAGATCTAGGGCTCTGCATCACGTTCCTCGCTTGCTCTGTGCTGATCTCCATCGAATCCAAATAACCCGATAGATCGATAAAACCCGGTTTAGTCAATGTTCTTCTCTCCTTTAGAGTGGCTGGTTTAGTAACTTTTTTGTCACTATTAGAATTGGTCACGTGTTTTTGTGTTTGGTTTAACTTTCGGTGCCACAAGCAAGAAAGGTTTCAATCAATAGAGGTTATCATGTACACTTTATCTTTAAACCGGATTTTACTCCACAGATTAAACAAAATGTATGAAGTTAAAATTTATTAAATTCAATCACTATAAATGGATTTACATATGGAGAATGCCTTTTAAGGAATAGTAGTTTCATTAGAATATGATATCTTTCTTTTTATTTGATGAAATTTTAAATTTATTGATCAATGGTTAGTATATCATATACAATGGATCTTAGCTTACACTAATCTATATAAAGAAATTCAGAAGAATAAAAGAATTTGCTGAGGATTTGATTACACCTTACAGACAACAAATGTTAAAATAATATATTTACTAATTCAAATTAGGACCAAGAAGTAGCAATAATCAAAAACGCATCTGATTCGTCGTCACTAGTTAGCAAGCATGATGCAAGCAGAAAACACACAATCAAATATCAGAAAGCTTTATTATATCTATTAGTCATAGAAATGTAGAAAAGCATTACAAGAAGTTTCCAAGGACGAGTTGCAATGCAACAAGCGTCACTCATAAAAGAATTCATTACTAGTTTTTGAACTCATAACAAAGAGGTAAGAATCAGAGAGAGATCTGATGAAAGACAACACAATATCATTCAGGCATCAGCAGAACTCAAGAGAGACTTGGCTGGTGAAACCAAAGCAACACCTCCGTTCTCAGCCTTGGAGTATTTCTTGTACACAGCACGTAACCTACCCTCTCCGCATCTCGAGTGGTGTAAAGCTAGAACCTTTGAGCATTCCCTATAACACAAGAAACAAACAAATAAGTCTATGCAATTAAGAGAGCAACATTTTAGGAGAAAAGTCTTTTATGTTCTTACATAATCTCAGATTCAGAGTAGCCGGTATGGAACTTCAACGTCTCTGTCCAAGCAGGAGACTTCTCCAACGAGCATCTCGCTGTGTAAACAGCTGAAGCAGCAAGCATTGCTGGACAGAACTTCAACGTGTCATAATGCATCATCCCCAACTCAGCAAGAAAATGAACCATACTCTCCATCTAGAGCCAACAACAACCAAAACAAAATAAGCTTCTTTACAATCTAAATTGCAATAGCTTCTAAGCAAAACTTAACACACCTCTGGGTCAGACATGGAAGCTTTAATGAAACGGACAAGGAACACGTATTGAGTCGGCACCGTCAAATACCATTCAAGGCTTCCAAGTATAGTCTTCTCCATCACAAGAATCTGCTTGCTGTTGTAAGCATTGTCTGTCACATACACCAAATCATTCACCTACACATTTTCACATCACAAGTCAGTAACATACAAATTAAAACACACTTAAATCAATTTGTTACAGAACTATGTTTACCTGAGGTGGCCAGATTTCTTCATACTTGGAAGCAATAAGCAAGGCACTAACTCCCAGTAACTGTAACTCTCTTTTAGGAACAGCTTTAACAGAGAGGAACCGATCAATGATGTTTACAGTGAGGTAAAAAGTCTCAAGGTTAAGTTCAAACTTGATATGAACTTCTAATAACCAATCTAACAAGATAGCTCTCATCTTCTCATTCATCTCACTCTGAATCTGCATATACATCTGAGGTTGACTCTCCTTCTCAACTTCTTTATAAAAAGCGTACATATCATCAACGTACTCAACAGCAGCCAGATGGTTATCTCTATCAGACTCATCAATATCGAGAATCTTCGGTTTGTTGGTTATAGAAGAAGCAGCTTTGCTTCTAGCACTGAGTACTGATGAGTACGTCACGTTCTTCTTCTTCGTCTCAACCTCTAGATTCTTCTTGGGGACAGCTTTTTGAGGTTCTTGGTTTCTTGGAGCGAGTGGTTGGCGTTTCTTTGGGGGGACAACAAGAACCGGAACCTTGTTGATCGGCTTCTTGTCGTTTTCTGCGTTTGATAAGAGCTGAGCACGGAAGCTTCGTGTGATGGGTCGGTTAATCGGAGGATTAGGCTTTCCTCCTTGAACTACGGGGACGGAGACAAGGTTTCCGATGTCACCGAGCGCACGACGACGATTCTTCACAGCACCGTTCTTGTTCTGGTTCTGTTCAGCAGCGACAGGAACACCTGTTTCAAAGAATCCAAAAGAAACAAAAACATATCACTGAGTTTTTGATTCATAAGTCATAACCACAATAATATTGAAGAGTACATACCTCTGACTTGTTCAGGCATGTTTGTTCTCGTCGCCATAATCGCTCTCCTACAGATTCTTTACCCTTCTTGTGTTTTCTCTTCGTAAAGAGTTGAAGAGTCTGTGAGGATTGAGAGATGATGATGGAGAAAGGGGAGAGAGCGCTTCTTATGAAGAGGAGCCAACTGGTTAATTTACAACGGTCATATTTCGGAGTAATCTATTTTGAGCCGTTGGATGATTAGGTGAAAAGATCTGACGGTTGTTTTAGATAGTCAATGAATTAGCTGGTCATGGATCGTCTCTATCTACAAAAATTAATCTTAACAAAAGGGGCCCAAACAAGTATGGTAAAGTATATTTTAATTTTGCTTTCCTTGTTCTCGACGTTTACAAGCCTGACCTGAAAGACGAACGGGTTTGTGTGTTGGGCATTTTTAAGACGGTTTGTGTTTTGGTTTCGGTTCACTATTTTTTGTTTTTATGTTTCATTAGTAATTCTATTGAAATATGAGATTTGGTTTTTCTGGGCCGTTCTCAAACATTATGTCCGCTAACGTCTATATAAATAAATTAATGAGAACCGTAATCAGACAAGCTTGAGTTTTCACAAATTTTATCAGATTTACGTCACAATCGAGACTGTTCTTACATGATTGATTTTGTACAAGTATTAGGAATGGGAGCCGTGGTGTTAATTTCTCTTCTCGTTTTATATCAAAAATTTAATTAAATGTATAAAAAAGGCGCCATTTTGTTTGTTCTGGTCTTATGAATTAAGTGTGAACTCGGTGAAACTATTTATAACAGTTATTAATAGAGTAAGCAGCCAAGTTAAAAAAGAAGATCAATTAAGTAACATATAATCAACAAGGAACAAAATACTGAGAATAGAATGTAACAAAAAACTACTAAATGTCATCTCTCGTAGAGTCGCAGGAAAGCTAATTCTCAATTAACATCAATAATAGCACTCGTCTTCTTCGGGTTTCAAGCATCTAAGTTATTCCAAATGCATCCACGAGAGAAGCACCAGCTCCTGAAAGTAACGCTGGTTAAAAAAATGTTATAACATATCACAGAGAGAAAGTAAAACGAATAATCTTCGATGCTTATCGGACGAAGCAGCACAACAACTAATTCAGAGAAAAAAACATATTAAGTTATAAAGCTATGGTGGAATCAGAATATCAATAAGCAAATTTGGTACATGGTCTCAAAACATTTAAGTTTTGATTCACATTTTATTTGTTCCTCATTTTCCACCATTTTCCAAATATAAACAAGACAATCAAAAGTAATTAACAAACAAATTTATATGTATTCGACCAGATTACAGGGCACGAGATACAGTAGACTCGAATTAGAATCTGAAAATCCCCCAAACGCTAACATCTCTACCAGATAAAAATTATGAAAATTAATATCCGAAGAGAGCAGGGAAAAGGTGACTACAGATTCTAATACCGAAAAAGCCTCGTGCCAAAAAAAAAAATCAGGAAGAAAAATGGCGGGTAAGTTGCTTAGGAGAACCCTAAAGAACAAACCCTATGAATTTTTCAATATAGCGCAGCTATGACTCGACACGCTTCCATTGAGCTTTTTTGGAAGGCGATCTTAAGGGCTGCGCGCTTAACAAAAACGAGACGAACATTGTTCTAAAACTAATTCGCTACGAAAATAACTTAGGAACTGAGATAAGAGGCGAGTATGCATTATATATGAGAGACACGCTTTACCCTAATCCAGCCTCCTTCGTCTTTTGATTATTGAACTTAAGGCCCATAGTAAGCCCATGTTCTCTTAGGCCCACATAACACGATCATCAAAGATACTACTGGCCTGCCTCAAGATACAACAAAGTATATTGGGAAAGAAATAGACATGGAAATGTCGCAGAAGTAAATTTAGTCCTGCCTCGTGTCAAAACATTTCGATGGAATGATTATGTTAGTACTGTTATAAAACAAACTAAATCATGATACACATATCCGCGCGGGTTTTATTTTTCGGATGCATTCGATATAATTTAGTTTTATATAGTTTCAAGTTTGGTCAATTCGATTTTATATTTAAGAAATAATACAAAAACTGTTTTTTGTATTAATAGCATCAAAGTGTATTATATAGATGTAATCGTGCAGTGAAAACACCAATTATGTATGTCTGTTCGAAGTGTAAAATCAAATTCAAACTTACATGTTTGCGATGAAAAAAAATCGAGAGTTTAGTTACTTCTGATGTTAATAATTATCTATTTTTCAAAAATAATATACAAAATTCTAAAATTTGTGGTCTTAACCTTTATTTTATAGGTTAAGTTAAATTCAAACTTAAATTTGGTTTTAACTTTGCGAGAGCGGAATATTTTATGATGGAAAATTTCATAAATAACTTAACAAATATTTTGGTAATTTGAAAAAAATATGTATTTAATATATTTTGCATTTAAATCAAGGTTTTTAAATTCAACCCGAACCGATATTAAACCGGTGATCCGATAATTCAATTTTGATAATTAAGAAATCTATTTTAAAAAAATCACAAAACCCGACACTAACCGATGGATAACTGGAATTTTCGTTGTTTTGTATATTATTTGAATTTTTAATTTAAACCTGTAAAGATAAGTTTATTTTTGTTGTTTTATATATTGTTTGAATTTTTTTGTTAATCTAAATAGTTTGAAAGAAAATTCTGGAAATTATTAAAAAGAGTGAGATCTAATATTTTATATTGTTTGGACATTATAAGATTAATTATGGTATTGTTTGGAAACATTAATAGTAGTATAAAAAATGAGATATTGTTTGGAAATATGGACAACAGTATAAAGAAATAAATATATTATTTGGATTCAAGGATAGTAATATAAAGAAATAAATATTAATGATTTAATGTAGGTTTAACAATAAAGTAGAAATATGTATTTAATCTAAAAACTTACAAATAAGATTAGATCTAACAAGGATATACATATGCGTTAGATAGGTAAGGCTAATAACTGGATTTGTCAAAATGGATTTAAAAGTAACGGATTTTTGTTAATACAGTTCTTTTATACCAACATTAGTACATTACGTTTTGAATTTTACCATAGTTATTAAACAAATTTATCTATTAAGTATACAGATATTTACTTAACAAAACAGCTGTGATGCAACTTCAAACGAATATTCAGTTATGTAATACATTCCAAAAATATGAATCTCAGACAGTAATTAAAGATCACATTCCTCTGCACCTTGCCTATATTACAATATCTCTCGTCTCATCCATCACAACACAACACACAAAAGAAACACAAATATGAGTTCTCACCAAGCAGAAACAGCCGTTAAAAGTGGGGGGGTTTTAGAGAGGCAGACGTCCTCGTCGTCCACGGTGGTGATACATAACGGTGAACCATCACCGCTTAGAAAAATTATATCTGTATCTTCTATCGCCGCCGGTGTACAGTTCGGGTGGGCTCTACAGCTATCTCTCCTGACTCCGTACGTGCAGCTTCTCGGAATTCCACACAAGTGGTCTTCTCTCATCTGGTTATGTGGTCCTATCTCCGGTATGCTTGTACAACCAACCGTTGGTTACTACAGCGACCGATGCACCTCAAGATTCGGTCGTCGCCGTCCCTTTATCGCTTCTGGAGCCGTTCTCGTCGCAGTCGCTGGTTTACTTATCGGATACGCAGCTGATCTCGGCATGCTAGCTGGAGATAAACTCGACCAGACTGTCAAGGTACATATTATTCGAAAAAACAGTTACATTATTTGTTAAAATATTCATAAATAAATTTAACACATTCAAAATATATAGGTACGTGCAATATGGATTTTCGCTCTTGGTTTCTGGATCCTAGACGTAGCCAACAACACTCTACAAGGACCATGCCGCGCTTTCCTCGCGGATTTAGCCGCTGGAGACGCGAGGAAAACGCGGACGGCAAACGCGTTTTTCTCCTTCTTCATGGCGGTCGGAAACATTTTGGGATACGCGGCGGGTTCCTACACCAACCTCCACAAGATTTTTCCCTTCACAATGACTAAAGCATGCGATGTCTATTGCGCGAATCTCAAGAGCTGTTTCTTCCTCTCAATCATCCTCCTCCTACTCCTCACCGTTGTGTCACTCTACTACGTCAAAGACAAACAATATACACCGGAGAAAGAAGACTCCGACGTGAAAACTCCGTGTTTTGGCGAGATCTTTGGAGCGTTCAAGGTGATGGAACGTCCCATGTGGATGTTGATAATCGTCACGGCGTTAAACTGGATCGCTTGGTTCCCTTTTCTTTTATTCGATACTGATTGGATGGGTCGTGAAGTGTACGGTGGAGACTCTGGAGGAAACGACATTTCTAAGAAGCTTTATAACCAGGGAGTACACGTTGGTGCGTTGGGTTTGATGTTAAACGCGATCGTTCTCGGGTTCATGTCGCTTGGTGTTGAATGGATTAGTAGGAAAATGGGTGGAGCTAAACGGCTTTGGGGAGTTGTGAATTTTATCTTAGCAGTGTGTTTGGGCATGACGGTTTTGGTTACAAAGTTGGCTGATGCTCACCGGAAAACCGCTGGTGAATCCGCCGGTCCGACCGATGGTATTAGAGCTGGAGCATTGACTCTTTTTGCTATTCTTGGTATTCCACTAGCTGTAAGTCTCCATCTTGTCTTTTTCACATTTTGTTTTGTTACAATCATTCACCACCGTTAATTATTTTGTCAGTCATATTAACCCATTTTTTGGTATTATTACTATAGGTCACTTTCAGTATCCCCTTCGCATTAGCTTCCATAATCTCGAGTAGCTCTGGTGCCGGCCAAGGTATTTTAACTTGTTTTTATTCACTATTAATTAAAACGTATGATTTTATTTATTGATATTCGTAACATAAATACTAAACTTTTATATATATGTCTAACGTACCAAACTTTGACGTACAGGGCTTTCACTGGGAGTTCTAAATTTGGCAATCGTGATACCACAAATGGTGGTGTCACTTGGAGCTGGATCGTTTGATGCGTACTTTGGTGGTGGAAACATACCAGGATTTGTGGTTGGAGCAGTTGCAGCGGCACTCAGTGGCGTTGTCGCATTAATCCTTCTACCTTAGTTCTATCATCTATGTGTGTTTTTCATGTTTGTTATATCAAGTCCGACTCTAATAATTTAATACCCCTAGAGCAAGAACAAAATATTGGGGGCATGCTTAAATGATGTTTTTCTCTGTAAAAACTTTCCTGTTTTTATACATATATAAATAAATGTTATGATATCAAGTTATCAACTATCGTTTTGTTGAAGTAGGACGTAAGAGTATGATTATCGGTCAAACTTGTTTTGGGTTTTTTAATTTTTGTTTTGTTTTGTGCTGTGTTGTTTGATATAAATTTTGTTTAAAAAAAAAAACTAATTGTAGATCATTACTGTTAATAGAATCCACAAATAATACAAGAAACTGCCCAAAGTCTGATCTTTATCACATGACTTCTGTAACCGATTTTTAAAAAACATGCGAGACCCACGCTTTTAAAACTCCATTCGTAAACTGCGATAATCATGGTTTAATAATCTAGTTTAAAAAAAAACGTTAGGTGAAACCATAATCTAAACAAGTTTAAGTAGTTTTTATAAGATAATCAAAACATTAACCATATAAATATAACAAACTTTATTAATAATACAACTTATATATTTTAAAAACTAATTAAAAACTGGACTTCGTACGATTTTTTTTTTTTTGAATTTTTGTACTCGATCGACTTCATACAAAAATAATACTTTTCGGCGCCATTATCACGGTTTAAGTTGGGTTTCGGTTAATTCCGGTTTCAATTAGTTCTCATATTCAATTTCGGTTTGTTCATATCCAACTTTCCAGAAGAAGAATCTCTGAATCTTCACTTCCTTTCAACTGTAATGCGACCAACACAGCAACAAGAAGTCGCCGTCACCGGTCTCTCCTTGAATCCCCAGGGAGGTGTTCCCAGCGTAGTGAAACGAGCTATCGTGATCGGAAACGGCTGCGCGGGCGCAGAGAATCAGTGCATCGGCCTTGTTCGATCCTTAGGCCTTTTCGATCGCCACCTCTATTATGTAACCTCCGTCCAAAATAGAATAATGTTCCTTTAAACCATGTTCTTAATGTTTATGAGTTTGTTTATACTGTGTAGAGTGTCGCTAGGCCAAGAGGAGGAATCAGTAGGTGGCTTCATTGGCTTAATATCTCTCTTTACAAAAACCTTGGCCGTTTCATCAGCTGTATATGTGCTGGATTTTCCATTAAATCAAATGATTCTGTTGGCAGAAGATCTGGTACGGTTTAGCTTTCTATTGGATGGTTCTGCGATTTAACACTTTGGTAGTGATTTGTTTGATAAAAAAATGGATGTAGGAATGAGGGATGAGTTTGAGGTGGCTGATGCGAAGCAGATTGCTGCTATGGCTCGTCGTACGTTTGACAAGTATATTAGCTCATTGGTTTTGTTCTTTAGTATTACTGTTTAATCTGCTTGAAAACAAGTTTATTGCTTTGATCTTGAATTGGCAATGTGGTTGTCTGTCTACTTAAAGATTTGTTTTATGATAGGAGTGGACCTTTGTTAGTGGTGGCATCTGGTCGTGATACTATTTCTGTAGCAAGCTCCATAAGACGACTAGCTATGGATTATGTCTTTGTTGTTCAGGTTAAGTCTCTTCCTTTTAAAAACCAATCTTCTTGACTTTTTCTCATTTTTAATGATGGTTGTAGCATGTGATTGATTGCTGAAATGACCAAATCTTGGCGTCATAGTCTTTGTTTTAACTTTGTGTTTGTTATGTGGTTGCATTTGTAATTTGAGTTAGTTGTTCCATTGTACATCCAGGTGCAACATCCAAGGTCGCGTCTCGAGAGATTTGATCTAGTGATCACACCTCGTCATGATTACTTTTCTTTAACACCTGAAGGGAAGAGGCAAATCCCTTTCTTTCTCAGGCCATGGGTAACTCCACGTGAACCTCCAGGTAGAAATGTGGTAGGTGTCATTTTCAATGTTCATTAAAAGTGTTTTGATGTCAAGCAATTGTTAAAAAAATCTCGAATTATGGTATCCAGTTTCTCACTACTGGAGCTCTTCACAACGTGGACTCTTCTACTCTGAGAAACGCTGCTTTGGAATGGAAGGACGAGTTTGAATCTCTGCCAAAACCTTTGGTTGTTGTTAATATCGGAGGACCTACAAGTAAAGACGTGTGCCTTAACTTGAGTTGTCATGATAACTGCGATTAAACCTTTGTTTTTTATTGTTAATTTTGTGTAGGGAATTGTTTGTATGGTGTTGATCTTGCTAAGCAATTGTGTGCTATGCTTCACAGTATCCTCTGGAGCTGTGGAAACCTAAGAATATCTTTCTCAAGAAGAACACCAAAGAAGGTAAGCATAACTCTCTAAAGAATATCACATTCATGTGGAGCGGATGGTCATCATAATCTCTCAATCATTCATCAGGTCAAAGAAATCATAGCTAGAGAATTGATGTCTAACCCGAAGGTCTACATTTGGGATGGAAGAGGTGATTTTTTTTTTTTTTTTTTGTTATTAACAACTTATCCATGTCAAAGTGTGATGCCTTCTCTTCTTCCATTTCTCAGACCCCAATCCTCATTTGGGGCATCTAGCTTTAGCCGATGCCTTTATCATAACTGCTGATTCTGTAAGTATGTTGAGCGAGGCATGTACTACAGGGTACGTTTAAGTGAAAAAACATCCTCTTCTGCTTCTCATTCTTTAGATGATAATGGAACTTCATTCATCACACAGGAAACCAGTGTACGTTGTGGGTGCTGAACGGTGTACATGGAAATTCTCAGACTTCCAGAAGACCCTTCATGAAAGAGGAGCTGTTCGACCTCTAACCGGCAAAGAAGATGTAAGTCTATTCCAGATTTTGCTTTTTTTACTACATGATAGCTATAATCTGCGACATCCTTTGTTCTCTCTTTTGTTTTTATGAATCCTGACGTTAACTTCTACGTGGATTTTCATATATCTCAAGATGGTTGAGAAGTGGAGTTACAGTCCTCTTAACGATAATGCAGAAGCTGCAAAGCGTGTGATTCAAGATCTGTCTGAGCGTGGATGGAAAATTGAGTCATGAACAAGTTTTCCAGAGTATCGTCTTTTCTCTTATCAACAAAATAAACTGTTTGAGGCAGGGCATTAGCAGCGGTCTTTTTGAAGAGTAGATCATAAAGTCAAGGTCATATACACTTAGCTAATTGGTTGAACCAGTAGCGATAGGATTTGTTAGTTCTTTGTTTTATTCCCATTTGGATATAATGAACTACTGGTTTGTTTGAAACTTGAAATGAAGTTTTTGAACCTTTTTTGGTAAGATGATCTATTAAAAAGTTTTAATTACTGGAGGAGATGGAGGCACTGGGGAGCTAGAGGACTGCAGCCACTAACCGAATCGCAAATAGCAAAAGAAAATTCTGGATGTGTTCTCTGCTAGAGCTCTTGGTATGATCAAAACACTTTTAGAAGTGTTGTTGTGTGTATAGATATGAGCAAGCTTCGTTATTAACACTTCACTTGCTCTTGATCTCTGAATCTTTTGTTAGAATGTGTGGAGTTAAAAAGTATTGATAACGACAAAACTCTGAAATGGATGAAGCTTTCTCCCTGCATTGAGTGTGTGTTTGTATAACGCGTTTTTGATTACAGATGATAATCACATAATGCATACGGTTACGTGTTTGTTAAACAATCAAGAAAGAAAAATTTCGTTGTGAATCCATTTGGAAATAAATATTCGGGGGGGCCTTCTATGTTTAGTGATTTTTCGGGCCTCCACGTCTGCGGTGAGAGATCCTCGTACTGCCACGTCGTCATCTTACCAACGTAAGCATCAATTTCAATCCCTGCGATTTTTCGTTTTGCTTCTTTTAATTCCAGAGGATATTCACCGGTGAATTGGTTTTTTCCCTTTGTAAGCTTTCATGGTAGATGGCCGTTAAGCTACAACGGCCTGGTCTCGTATCGTCAAGGTAACCACCCAAGCTTTACATATTTTATCTCCTTCAAATTTGTTTGCGGTTATCTTCGATTTTCTCGTGAAACTCCGTGGCAGGAACCTACTATTATTTATCGATCTTATGGTCCTCATGATCTTGCTTGTATTTAACGTAAAATAAGTTGGTTATGGGAGAGCTGAATATGAATGTATTTTCTGCACTTAAAAGAGCTTTTCTTGGTTGTAATTTTAATAGGTTGAGATTTTGTCGCTTCTTAGTATAAACTGAGAAATTTATTTCGTCCTCTGAGAATTAGAGCATATTTAGCTGAGCTTTCATGTACAGTGTTAATCTGCATAGGCTTGAGGAAGTTATGTGATCCTTTCCTTATTTATTACTTCTCTTATTCAATAATCTTTGCCTTTGTAGCTCTTTAAACCCTTGTCTCTCTCGGATGTCCATTGGAACCTTTATCTCCTGCAGAAGGGTTGTAGAATTGGATTATATATCAAACTCCTGCGGAAATTCAAGGAGCTCTCTTCTTCATAGGAAATTGCTTGGAAACAAAAATATAACCTGTAATAAATCGCGGAGGGCAATGCAGCCTTCTTTCCTTGCATCTGCTGACGATGGTGTGGCTGTCAACGGGACTCCTCAGTCAAGAGCTAGAGATGATGTTGAGGAGATGAGGGCCAAACTCAGTGGATCTCTTGGAGATGAGTACAACTGCGATGAACTCGTTCAGTCTTTGCGTGATTCTGCCAGAACTTTTGAACTTGCGCTTAAGAATAAGATTTCCTCTTCCAGATTACCATGGTTTTCAGCAGCTTGGCTGGGAGTTGATACAAATCCATGGATTAAGACATTTTCTTACCAGGTACGTTTCATTTTGTTTGTTTGCACCTCCCCCCATTGTACCATTATTATGCAAATGGATTTGAAATTCATTTACTTGTTTATATATATAGGATATTTGGTGAAGAACAAAAAAATTCTTGTCCCATTGCACATTTAGCCTCCTCGAAGTATCTCTTGTCATATTTTTAGCTAAATTCATCGTCTGTTCGTTATTCTCAGGCTTCAGTGTATTCCTTACTACAAGCTGCAAATGACGTTTTATCAAGAGGAAACAACAGAGACAAAGATCTTAACGTATTTGTGCAAAGGAGGTACTGCATTACTCTCTTCATGCCTTAGAATTATCTCATTGAGCGTTACTGGAAATTGTCCCATTGTGCAGTTTATCGCGCCAAGCTGCTCCCCTTGATAGCATGATGCGGGATAAACTATCTTCCAGTCACCCTGAAGCCAATGAATGGTTTTGGTCTGACCAAGTTCCTTCTGCAGTGACATCTTTTGTGAATAGTTTTGAGGAGGAACAACGATTTGCTGCTGCTATTTCTGCGTATGTCATTTCTTTTAACTCTCTTCATATTAATTTCTGGAAGCGCTCGTTTGACTGTTAGGTTTTTTGGAAAGTGACGATGCTTTATGGCTAATTCCAGCTATGCCAAAGGAAAGTCCTCAGATGCAAGCAATGAGATAGATGTGTCACTTCTCTTGCTTGTGCTCAATTGCATAGCAGCAGTCACAAAACTTGGGCCAACAAAACTGTTGTGCGCGCCCTTCTTTTCTATGCTTCCAGATACAACAGGAAGATTGATGGACAAGTTTGTTGACCTTGTTCCACTCCCTCAGGCCTATCTGTCAATGAAAGGCCTCGGTCTACGTAGAGAATTTCTTACTCACTTTGGACCACGGGCAGCTGCATGCAGAGTAAAAAGTGACCGCTCTACAGATGAGGTTGTCTTCTGGGTCGATCTTATACAAAACCAACTGCTTCGGGCTATTGATCGAGAGAAAATATGGTCGAGATTAACAACGTCTGAAGGTATCGAGGTAATGAATAGAGAGAGTTGCAGTGTACATATCTAAGCAGCATTTAAAATCTCTGTGAAGTGTGCATGTGAGCTCGTACTAGTACTTGAAATTACTGAGGAGTTATGTGCAAGTATAGGGAACATAACTGCTTGTCTAATTCATTTGGGAGTGTCTCCATTGTGAATTTGTTTGGATATGTCATTTGCAGGTTCTGGAAAGAGATTTAGCTATTTTTGGATTCTTCATTGCTTTAGGAAGGAGCACCCAGACTTTTTTAGATGCAAATGGTTCTGATTCTATGGAGAATCATTTACAAGACCTTGTCAGGTGACTCATTGTTTATCCTTCTATTTGCTTGTCATAATCATTGGCCCACCTTACCACTTCAACTCGCTATTTTCTTTGTTAAGGCACTTCATCGGGGGAAGTCTGCTGCAATATCCTCAACTTTCAGCTATTAGTTCATACCAGTTGTATGTTGAGGTAGGCATAAATCATAACGTCATTGGTGGAATTTTCCTTTTACCATTTTATCTTATCATGGAAATTCATAGTGTAGGTTGTCTGTGAAGAACTAGAGTGGCTTCCTTTCTATCCAAATAAAAGGGAGCCGCAGCCAGCCAAACAAGCACATGGGCATAAGAGCAGACCAGAAGGGCCACCTAATCATGATGCTCTTCCTCAAATATTTGATGTTTGCTCTTATTGGCTACACAGCTTTATTAAATATAGCAAATGGCCAGAGAATCCTTCTAATGTCAAGGCAGCAAAGTTCTTATCCAAGGGGTATCCTTTTGTTTATCAAAATTTTGGATAGTTAATAAATTGACGTTCAACTGATTTTTCATTTCTGATTTTTAGGCACAACAAGTTAATTCAGTGCAAGGAAGAACTGGGGAGATCAAGGTGGTTATCCATATCCAACTCTGTGTACTTTGCATGTTTGCATCCTTGTTATGGAGCATGCCTTTTATAATTAACTTTTAAGTAAATTGGATAATATGTACTGCAGTTTGCCAGTAACAGAAGCAGGACTTATTGACATGAATGCATTATCAACTGAAGAGTCGAGCTCATTTGACAAGGTTGGTATTCTATGTATTAGTCATGAACATGACTTTACTCTTTGGACACTATTCGAATCCAATTTTTTTTTGTTTTAAACTCTGGTGACTGTCAAATGTACTATAGCTACTAACAGCACTTATTTCTCAGGCTCTAGAGAGTGTAGATGAAGCTCTTGTGAGACTAGAAAGCTTGTTACAACAGTTGAATGCATCAACCTCGGCTTCTGGAAAGGAAGAAGTAAAAGCCGCTTGCTCAGATCTAGAGAAAATACGGAAGCTTAAGAAAGAGGCTGAATATTTGGAGGCATCTTTCAGAGCCAAGGCAGCTTCCCTTCGAGAGGTGTTTACTTGTTATTTAAGTACTTGCCATTGAGTTTGCTAGAATGACCAAAGCATACACCACTCTTAGCCCTTTTTAGGAACTGTGTTATCAGTCTTTGCGCCTATAATATGAAAACAAATATAGAAAAGTGCATTTCGTTATCTTAAATGTGTTTGGAAGACTAAGAGATAATATGGTTCTTTCAGGAAGGTGGTGGCAGTGATTCTCAGGAGTCATCTGAGGGAAAATATCAGAATCTGAAAGGAAACGACACAAAGAATTCAATTGATTCTGTAGATCAAGAAGGCACAAGGTATGTTGAATGTTCTGTTATTTTATAATTTTGTGTGTTGAGTAATAAGCTGTAGGTTCCCCTTTATCCTCTTGCTGAAACTTATTTATTGTGTTGCATCTGCATTAGTGAGAATGGTGGATTCTGGGGTATCTTTGAGCGCCCTCCAAGGAGGAAGCCTGCTCCCAACTTATTGGTATTCTTTAATTTCCTATCTTATGTGAAGATATCTTAGACCTTATATCTTTAGGGATGCTTCTGCTTATAGTTGGCGCTTATTAAGTACTTGATATTTCTAATTTGGTTTTCACCAAGTGAGAAGATGCTATGTTAATATCTTTGGATTTTTTTTAACCATAAGCAGGCAGATGAATGTATTGAGAGATCCAGAGAAAACGTTGACAGTGTACATTCCGAACCAAATGAGATCTACCGGTTTGAACTTCTAAGGAATGAACTGAAAGAGCTGGAGAAGCGGGTCCAAGGAAGTACAGATGACTCCGTAAATGAAGAGGTTAGTAGTAACGAGTACTATAACTCATATCACATTATTCCTTGACAATCAATTTGGCACGTTCTGCAGGGAAGTACCTCTGGGGATCCTTCTACATCAAGCAGTAGTATGAAAGGTGTGGAGTTGGTCCAGAGCTCAAAGAAAGAAAGCGTCATTGAGAAAATCAAAGAAACAGGCACAGTATGAAAGTCATTCCAACCCTCATGGCATCTGCAGCTTCGTTTTCATAAAACAAAAAAAACAGCTCTTTCTGATCATCTTTGTTCCTTGACATTTGTCTTCTTCATGGCTTGTTACTAATCATTTCATTTTACTGTGATATATTTGATAGGACGTGTGGCAAGGTACTCAGCTTCTTGGATCTGATTCAGCTGCTGCAGTGGAGCTGCTTCGGAGGTCTGTAACAGGAGAAGAATTAACAGAGAAAGAAAAGAAAGCTCTGCGCAGAACCATGACTGACTTAGCATCAGTTGTTCCCATTGGTTTTCTTATGATTCTTCCTGTGAGTAAAAAACTAAACTCTATTTGATGGTTTGCTTTGAACAGAATCCTGTTTACACTAATCACTCCATTGTTTCATTTACCATTATCATGGCAATATGTCTTGAGTTGTTGAACTAATCTAACTGGGTACGCTTATGTCAAAACAGGTCACACCAGTTGGTCATGCGGCTATACTTGCTGCAATTCAAAGATATGTGCCAGCCTTGGTAATAATGATGCTTAACTTTGTTAATTTCTTTTTTTTCTTCAACTCTTTTGATTAAGTTGACGTTGTTTGTTCAGATACCTTCAACATACGGATCCGAAAGATTGAACCTATTACGACAGCTCGAGCAGGTCAAGCAGACGCAAAATGAAACCGAGCCTGAGGAAGAAACAGAACACTGACTAGATAGAAGATACAAAACTTCATTTTATATCACTTGTCTATTAGTTCATTGACAACAGTTGTGTATAGAGACTTTCACTCCATTGTCTCTATGTTTAAAAGCCCAATATAAAAAGCGAATTGTTTTGTTAAAAGCCCAATATTAAAACGAATTGTTTTGTTAAAAGCCCATTAGAAGCCCAATGAAAATTAAAAGAAGATACGAACTGAGCTACTATCTGCGACTGTTGACGACTTCTGATAAGTCTCCGGGAAGATGAAGCTGAAGGTTGTGTATCGCAAGGTCTCCGATTACATCCGTCACGATCTCAAAGAAATCGTCTTACCTTCTTCACTTCCCGATCCTCCTCACGTCGTTAAACGCCGCAAATTGACTTGGCACGAACGATTTCTCGTGAGATTCCATTCACTCTCTTTTTTTTTTTCTGCTCGATTTTATAGTGAGTGAATCATTCAGTTACGTATTTGATCATCAGATGATATAGAATCTTGAATCATTTGATTGTTGTGCGTAACATTGATATGTAATTCGCTTCTAACTATGTTGAGAGTATGTCTATTGGTGATTTATCCTCTTTATGAAGTCTATTTTGTTTGTTATTTAGGTATTGAAGGAAGCTTCAAGGCTCTATGCTGCAAGCTGGGTGCGAGATATAGGTCCTGAGCTTCGTCCTAATGATTACAAGAAGCAGGGTGATGCTGAACCTAAGAAACAAGCCAAAGACACTGAGAAGGAGCCCTCTGTTTTGGAAGATCTTGGTAAAAACTCTTGTTAACCTACTATTGCCCACTTTCATTGTATCTGAAGTTTATTGACTTTATGAATAATCGCTTGTCTCTCCTTTTCATTTTTAAATAGCATGTTTTTTCATTTATTTTACAGCGGTAGCTGCAAGAGGTGGCATGGAGACTTTAAGACCTGCTTTACATCGTGTGTACATGACACGAGCTTCTAATTACAAAGATGCTCTTGCAAGCTTTGTAAAAGGTTACCATGAGGGTGTCCAGCAAGTTATGCAGAACAAAGAAGAGGCTCAGGTCCCTAAAGATGAATCATCCGACAACTCTAAAAAGACTTCATGAGCTTTACTATTCATTAGGTGAATGCGAGTATGTGTTTTGTTAAATCTTGGATTATTTGATTGTACCGCAAGATTCCAGAGACTTCTATCTACGTTCGATGTAGTCCTTTACGCAAAATGTAGCCTATTTGTGAAGCAACTTCTAGAAAAGAACAAATATATATTTAGCTTGAAAATGTTCTGTCTAGATATATCTTCCAGTTTTTACTTTTCGCAGCAGGGAGGACAGGTTACAAGAAACTTTTGTGATGAAACTGATGAGATATTGTCTGATACTCTTACAGCTTATTCAAGGACTTTTTCTAATCACAGGCTGGCTCATTGCAGGATAGCTTTTATATGTCAGGGGCGCAGGTGATTGTTTCAAAACCGCTAAATAAATTAGTAAGCAACTCTTAGTTTTTGGTTAAAAAATTGTTTTCTATTTTTCTTTTGTGATTTTCTGTACATAATTTTTCTTCCCAAGTTAAAACAACAGTTGACATCGACTAAGGCATTGTTAGTGGATCTAAATCCATGCTATCTGTAATAGTCTCACATAATGCTGTCTCGTAAAAGTTGGGTGGGCCTTGAAGTTATTAGAAAGTATAGATATCAGATAGATATCAGAGGAAAAGTTGAGCAGTCGCTTCAGAGCTGTACTTTAAGTCTTGTTATAATCAACACTTCATTTGCAGGACGAACCCCTAATGCAGGAGAGGCCACTTGAGCATCTTAAATGTAGACAAAAGCTTGAAAGACTAGTGATAATGGCGCATGTCTGAAGGGTCCCTCACCCACTTGTAAAGCCACTAAACCAATTGGGCGGAGATCAGTTAGCCTTCAAGTCAACAAGTAAGTATCTTCCTGAATCTGCATGGGCCCTATAGAGAATCATCTGTGGCTAAAGTAAGATCGAAACGAAAGTCTGCTTGAAACATATTTTGCATTACTTGTTGAATATCAGCCCATACTGTCAAGTCCACAAATGTGTCTGCCTTAGAGATGAGCAGTGTTACTGCACTAAAAAATCGAACATGTGCGCATACAACCCGAGCATTTTGTAGTTAGTGAGTGGTCCATGATAAGGTTGTATTGTTGCCATCTGTGTTATGGAAACTTTCTGTCTAATCAAACCTTAGCTTTACTCCTTTGGTGCCATACGCAGATAGTTTCGAGAGGTTCTTTTTGACAAAGCATACACTGTAATGATTGTAGAGATGGCAATTTTCTTTTCGCTTATCGTTAAGTCATAACGAAGCTATAGCTACCTCACCACCGAAAGCAGCCTTGGGATTAGTCCCCTTGTCTCACTATAATCTAGTTTAAGTAAGTGAAATAGCTATAGTCTAAGCTTTACGGAAGTTAAGCATATTCATATTACCTCGTCCGAATAACTTGTAGCTGAAGTTAGCTAGCTTCGATGATTAGAGTAAGCAGAGGATTCAGCAGACTTTTTGAACATCGAGAATTTCTTGCTGAGTATATTAGGTCTATATGAGAGTTTTCTATCAGATATCTGGTTGATAAAACCATCAAATCATGAATGTAAAGCCATGTTTAATGGTTTGTTGAGATATAATAAACTGATGGAAGAAACAATGTATGTGCTAGTTAAAGATATCATTGGATCATAGCACAATCTCTTTTTGGAAGCACATGGGAGGTGTATAACTGATCCAATGATTGATTTTTCTATATTTAATATTATGATAAAATGAAGAGCACTATAAGAAGCAGTACATGAATAGACCTATTGCTTTCAACAGATGATTTGCTGTTCATCTGACCTTAGTACATGAAAAAGATCAGGTTCTTGTAGGACTCTCTTAAAGTTTCTCTTTTTGTCAACAAATTGTATAGACTCCCGGAAATAAATACATGTCTTGAACTACTTCCAGTTGAAATACATTATATAATATGTGACTTGATTGATTTGATCTTTGGTTGAACTATTTGAATTGAACCATGCCTTACACTGCAATTGCATTGTTCACCAAAACAAAAAAAAAATGAGAAACTATCAAAGAAGGTAGTGAAAAGGTAAAAGCATAACTATAGTACTTCCAATACCACAAACCATCAATTTATTTGGCCCACCTTTTATATAAAATAATCTCATCAGTTTCCCGATTTCATCTTTCACCAGAAGAAAATGAATACATACTCATCATTAGACAAGTACAACTATACATATGCATGTGTAAACACATCATCATGAGATGTATATTGATATTCCATTTTTTTTTCTTCTCACTTTGCAACTAGAGAAAAAAAAACAAAGTTTCCTAAAATTCAGCAATTTATTTTCTATTTTCCAAATTAGTTACATACGGTACGGAAGCCAATGAGATATTTTTATTAAAATTTGAATACATATTTTCCAGAAAATGGGCCTCTGTGGCTATAGAGAATGCGCAAAGTCTGGTCCCATAAAAGCTTTAAGTCAATTCCAAATTGTTTGTTACTTCTTTGGATCTTTCATCCTCGTCTATCTCCAAGCTGCTTCATCGTATCCTCCGTGAAAGCTATATTCTGTTTTCACAAAATTATTCCAAAATCACTATCATTGTTTTATGTTACATGCATATAACAATATCCACACTGGAATACAAAACATCAATTCTGTTATACACATTTCCGTATCTAATCCTAACAATTGTTAGAATGAATAAAGCAACAGTGATTACAGAGACCAACATATATGTCTTCTACTTGCATAAATAAAAGTGGGCTCAGACAAAAATAAAATAATTAATTCGAAGCAGGGTTAAGTCACTAACAAAGTGGCCATGTGCGACTGCTCAAAAGTCTATAGTCTCTTAACAGATTCCTGATTCTTCTTAGTTATATTAATAATTAAACAATTAACTCCAAAAAGTATCTTAATCAATCTTATTTATTTAATTATAATCTCAACTGTCTCATCTCGAGAAACAGCGTTACCTATCTGTATTAATAATTATCGTAGAATCATAAGTATGTTGATAATGTAATGTAGCCAAATTGAATCATATATATAAATAGCAAAATTACCATGTTATGAGGATGAGGGGTGTAATAATAGTACATGTTCTGGCCGTAATAACCATCAGGACACTCGGTGGCTGTCGGGGTAGCAACGGAATCATCTCCGTCGTCTTCATCCATCTGACACTCCAAATTCACACCGAAAAGCCTCACCGTCCTTGAGCTCCCGGCGACTGAAGACGTTGGTATGGAGTGAGTCCCCGACGCTGTTGCTACGGCGGCGCCTGTAATAACGACACGTGCGCTTCTTTAATTTATTGCTAGAAACAAACAAACAAAAACACGAACACAACTGAACACAAGTCACGTTTGTCCCAAGGTATTGGACGGTATTCTACACGCGCTGTTCTGTGCGCGTGTATATCTTTATTAACAACAACTTGGAGATAATAGTTAATAAGTAATAGAATTGTCGGGGTCTTTTTTTTTTTAATTAGAAACAAAAATATAAGCATAGCTGTATAATAATAGAATGTTACTTAACTCAGGTTGTTAATATGCACGTAATGGGCACTAATAATAATTATCATACACTACTAGAAGATAAACTATAAATAAAAATATTAGGTGTTTAATGTTGGTGTTACAAAAAAATAGGTGTTTAATGTTGTAATTATCCCGACAACATAAGATTAAACCCTACAATTAAAGAAATTAAAATTAACAAGCAGTTTTGTTCAAAAAAAAAATATTAACAAGTAGTAAGAATATTAACATACCGTAGTGAGAATACTCCGAGTGAGAAGGAGGATTAGAGTAGTTACTAGAGGCATGGATTTGGAGATACGGAGGAGCAGCTGCCATGGAACTAGAATACGACGTCGGATTGGCGGCTGCGGTGGAGGAGGAGCCTTGGCCACGTCTACGCCAGCCAATGAAGAGTCTCCGGAGATCAGAACGTTGTCGTTGAAAGAAAACGACGTCGCCTGGGTCTAGCTGTTTGTCTTTAACGAATCTGCTCCATCCTTTAGTCAACACGTAGCTTTGGCTACTGTTCCAGTAAGAGTATCTGAACCTCCAGCACTTCCCTGACTCGTCTTCGAAGCTTAGAAGCATCCCTTTCTCGGTGGACACGTCAGCATTATTGGAGATGGCGTTGAGAGGGAAGTATTTCTCTGCGTGTTGCTTTGGTATGACGAGGCGGTTGAGTTTGCCTACGTCGCTTGGTGTGAGAGTTTTCTCGAAGAGAGACTCTTTCTGGTCTTCGTTGAGCCACGTGGCGGCAGTGGTTGTATCCGATGCGTCGGTGGTGTGGAGATGCTGCCACAAGAGAGTGTTGTGGTGGTGGTGGTCCGTGGAGTAATGGTTGACTGACATTTTTTTTTTTTGATTGGGAGAGAGTAAGAGAAAGGAGAAGGTTATGTGAAAGAGAGAGGTGGGTAGTCGTTGTACTAATATAGTATGATACAAAGGAGAGATGAAATATTTGTTAGGGTTAAAAATTGACGTGAAAACTTCGGCAAAAAAAACTATTTGAGGAGAGGGCAAGACACGACAACTAGACGACTTTCTTTTAAGGTTTTGCGTGATGTTTTATCTTTTTCCATCATTATTACTTTTTCTACTTCTTCCAGTACTCCGTATTTTTATAGACTTCCTTTTTTTATTTATTCTATTTGTCTCTCATCTCTCTCTATATGTAACATAAAAAAAAATATATATATATTTATTTATTTATTTAGTTGTATTTTCTTAAACAATTTGGATTGCACGACCTTAAGTATGTATAGTGTTGATGTTACTTAGCTCGGTTTTACTCGGAATTTATATAGGGAACTTGAACTTTTTTAGTTTATAAGATATGTTAGTTATGTATAATTGCAGTGGAAATGAAAAGTAATACTCAGGTGAGGTAGGTGATTAGGAGGATGCTCTAGACAAGAAAGAAGAATTTAAAAGTTTATTTCTACAAAAGAAAAAAAGTTAGGCTACACGAAAACCCAAATAATCAACCCATTTAGAGTTAGAATCTGACCATTTGAAAATAAATGCAATTATTGGAAAAAGTTAAATGATCAAAATTCTATGATGTCACTTGTTTATAGCATACTGGAAAAACATTATGTTCTTTGCGTGCTTCTCCAAATGTTACCAAAAGAAGAAATCAATGATATAGTCCTTGTTAATTTCGACGCAATTTATAGATATGATACGTTATCACTCGTCATCAGTGTTAGTTTCAGGTTTTAGTTTGTTTTTATGTAATTTTTATCTGTTCTTGGCATTGCAGCGGTATCAATTATTTTACGAGTTTTTTTAACAACAAAATAATACTGTGATGGTAATATATGTATATTATATGTTCTTTCATTATGCTATATTTGTTTTGTTTTTAAACGTTGCGTGTACTATGTTTATTGGGTCTATTTTAGGCAAATTAAAAGGAAAAATACTATTGGGAGGTCTAATAGGTACGTAGGAGTAAAAGACTAGCAGTATAGCTGCCGAAAATATTATAAAACTACTGAATTAGGACGATCATGTTTGATATTGTGCTCATTTGAGAAGGAAAAACGATATTTTTAATAATTATATATTTTTATATTCATATAAAATCTTATATAATGTTCTTACAAAAAAACCTAACGTCTGAAAATTTCAATATATTAAACTAAACAAAAACCCCATAGTTTATCAATACTGATTAAAAAGGTTTTATGCCTGGCATAGTGTTGGAAGAAAACAAAACCAATCTCTATTCATTACTGAGAAAGTTTAACAAAATCAAATATATATATATATATATATATATATATATATATATATATATGCTTTTCTTAGGAATCCATGCAGTTTACAAAGTCTGTGGAGCTATTGAATTTTCTAAAGTCTATTTGAAGAATAGTAACCAACTTGTTAACAACTAAAAACTAGAGAGTTACAAATCCACAAAGTTCAAAAAAAATTCAAAAAAAAAATAGTTGAAACTGAATACTATAATAATATAAGATGGCGTGAGGGTCACATGGTTAAATTGAGGGGGGGTGTTTGATGTTTGATTTTCCTTTTTGAACATTTTTTCTTAGTTGGATTGGTTTGTCCCAATCTATAAGTGATGCTCTTATTATGCAACAATGTTTTTTTTGGTTGAATAAATTTAAAATTCTTTCAAAAAAAAAAAAAAAAAATAAGATGGCGTGAGACCAAAGAGGATGACGGAAGCATGATAAATGAAAAAGAGATCCAATGGGTGGAGAGAGCGTTTAGTTTTCACCCCAAGAAAAAGTAAAGAAGGCACAAGAAGAGATACTTACCTCTCACGCAACTTTGTGGAGCATGTGCCTCCCCCTTTACCGCACACTATTCCATTCATTCATCTTCAATTCTTCTCTCGTTTCACATTTTCTTTTTACTGCCCCAAGACTGGATTGCTTTATATTTCTTTTTCAACATCTTTATGTACCTGAAATAGAGTTGACAGTAATTAGTTTTCGTAACTGAGAAGTTTGAACCAAAGCAGCATTGGGTGAAATGAATGTTATGTATAAAACATATTAGAAAATGGTATGAAAAGTTTTCTCTAACTGATTTCAAACACACCCAACGGCACTCACCTGAAGTCCAAATTGATCTTAGTTAATCAACGTACTCACGCTATGTGTTTTTAAATTGATTACTTAAAAGGTTGAGTTTATTACTCTTTTAGACACCAATTCTATTGTGTATTCTTATTTAAAATAAAACCATCAATATTTTAATAACTAAACCGCACTTGGATATTGTCTTCTTTTAAAATAACCTTGATAGAACAAGTATGCAAGTTTTTCTGTTGCAGGTATAATAATTATAGGAATCAGTTGCCTGCTAGCTATATAGCTTAAGATTGTTTCCTTTGAATTGTCACATACATAGTAGGGAATGTTTCGCCTATATATAGTAAAATCTTATATTTACTTTTTAAAGAGAATAAGAACACTACTCGATACATTTTACAGTTTCACTCAATAAACTAATAAATGTGGAAGAAAGAAGTTGATTAGATGAAAATGGAAAAATAAATATATAACTTAGAAAATAAGATACAATTTCAAAATAACTAGAAATCATGGTATGCAACTATGCACTCTTATATCTATATGAAATTTAGATATTTTGGTAAAGCACATTACAGACAAATATATATATTGCAGTTTACACCAATACATTATAATAATAGAAAGTTCAAAACATTCACGTTCTCATCTCTAAAGCAAGTGTTAGCTGTCGTTAGCACACACTATATGAACTTATACCAAAAATGCGATACTATATATTGTACGTGTCTTAATTTTCTTGCTTTCTGCACCATAATATATACAACATTGTGTAGAATTTTTTTAAAAATAAGACCCAAATCTTAACCATGAGGGCTACTTGAAAAATCCAAAAGACGTGCAAATGGGCACATACGTGGTCCTCCCCTGTCTATTATGGTTTTATTTGACGACTTTTTCGCCAAATGTTTTTATTTTATAGTAAAATGTTAGTATTATTTTCTCAATCGTTAAAACAAATTATGAAATATTTGTCATGTGTTGGTGGACACCATTATTGAGCTTTAGACGTTTATATTTCTCTTAATTTCAGCAGAAGACTACATTAAGATATCATTATGGAAAAAAAAAGATATCATTATGAATTCCAAAAATATTTACATATACACCCTTTTATGACTCACATTTTATCAGTTTACCTTTGGATTGCTATCAATAACAGAACTATACTTACAAATAAAATCTATTCCATTCAGGTTTCTATTTATACTTTTATCTACTTATTATAAGCTTTCGTTCCATAATATAATAAATGAAAAATTATTGCTCACAGTGGGCTGGCTGCACTTGAAAGAAAGAGGACCATCTAAATAGATCTATATATAATAGAAATGTTGTGACTTTTCAAATATAATTACAAGATGAAAACAACACCTATATATATGTATGCGAGATTTGTCCCGTTGGATCTTTCTGCTCCTCTATTCGTGTTTCAATCGTCTCCTCATACTCAGACCTCTGACTTAGTCATGAACTTCAGTGATATTTTTTTTGGAAGCAAATGAATAAAGCATATAACATGTAATACAAATACAAACCAATATCTTACAAACCATTTAATTTGATGTTCCTCTAATCCAAAATAAAATAAAGTACGGATGCTATGTATTTTTCTTCTTCTCCAGGGTTGTGATTATGCTTGTAGCATAGTCTTGGAGATTGTTTCATAGCTAGGACATGTCATCTTCAGCAAATTACAATGATTGAATTAGTGTTGCAAAAAGAAAAAAACTGAGTAATAGACAAAGACGGCATCACTTCCAGGTCGATTTCGAGACACCTTTTTGCATGTACGTCTGCATCAATTAAATTGAATTTGTCATTTTATTTATGTCCTTTCCTATATAAGCAATGTTAAATATTTATGTATGTAGTGTTGCACATGTTAGTGTTATTTCCTCTCCAATGATAGTAGAGGTTGTTGGGATCTTGTATGAATTTGTCTTTTTACTTTGCTATAAGATTATAGAGTATGACTTAACATCGCTCCTTATATTTTCTTCCCTTTTAATCCTATGCAATTTGATAAATAAAAGTTACTGATTTCTTTCAAAAGTTGAAATTTTGGCTTTGAAACTGAAACTAAGGGACAATGTTACAGTATGCTATATATATATATACATCAAACAGAAAACACTGAGTCTTACTTAGAGGTCTTTCAAATTCAAAATTAAAGTAAATGAGGTACAAAGGAATATAGTTATATGATAGAAGACTATAGATATACCGGTGATTGAGGAATCATTAGTTAAGAAAGTTTTAACTCCAGCAATATTAACAGATCTTATATATAATGGTCACTCTATATGGCAGTTTGTTTTTTTCTTACATGGCCGTTCGGATTCTAGGTCTACTTTGTTTTTTCATGTATGACAGTTTTCTACATAGATATTCTTCTTAGTATTCCATAAAGTTGATTCATAAATGATACAACAATCGACCGAAACTCAAAATTTTTCCAAACAATTATTTCCCTGGAAAAGAATTAAACGCTTGAAATTCACAAGTTTCATTTTGGATAATCTTAGTGATTTTTGCAGTTATATAAAACTTACATAACTATGCAAAATATTCATAGCTAGGGCTATATATGTACGAAGTAGTTTTCATTAGCGATGGTGCGTAAATTTATAGTCGCATATATTATTATATGAGCAAATTGTTACACACGTAGTCACGCATATATATTAGAATTAGATAGCAAGTTGTGGCTGCAGACGACACGCACAAACTATAAAGAGAAAGCAGGAGGGAATCTGCGATGTAAACCGTGGAGGGTGTCTATAATCTGCAAGTTTCTTTATTTAAATGTTCATAAACGACAAGCTTCCTTTGTTATTTTGGGAAAGTGGTGCGAGAAGCTTCACTGAGCTTCGTGTAAGTTGCTAATTTTCTATTCTTATTTTTCCTATATATATGACATTTTTTCACTTCCCTAGAAAATAATATTTTTTCTTGTCAACAAAACTGTTCTCTTTGAGTTGTTCGTGGTTTCATCATAACGAGCAGTTACATTGCAGTAATATAATACTACGAATAGTGGATTCACTTGTTAATTGACCTCATTTAAGTTGAAACCAATAGTCTACATCTTACAATATTCAAATAGGTTATCTGTACGTTTAACAAGTGTCGATCGAGGTAATTAATATGCATATCAATATGTTAAGATTTAATGTTTTGACGAAGTTCGTAAAAGTGTGAATTTTGGGTTTACCTATAGAAAATTACAGTAGATGTGCTGAAACAGAAAGATAGTTTGTAATAAGGCAGGGAACTACGGGAACATGCATATCTGATCTAATGTAACAATTAGTTTTTAGTTGATAGCATACCAGATTTTAAGTATATTCACAGTTGAAACCATGTATAGTACATAAATATAGTAGAATTAATAAAATCTATATACATGTAACTACTTGTTATATAATAAGGTATTGATATCTGCTAATTAAGAAGGGGACCAAAGCCTCTTGCTGTATTTTTCTAAATTCTAAGCAAGAACTGGCCTGGAAGAGGGAGGGGACCACCGACCACACATTTTCCTCTCTTTTTTTTTGGTTATTTTCAATAGAGACAATATAAACATTCATCTGCTGCTCACTGCTCCACACACTAAAGTTTTTATGCAGCCGATTTCTTGGACTTAGACAAGTTATACACCGATGCATATAGTTAGTCTTCAAGTTCATATTATGAATTTTGTAGAACTTTAGACTGCAACAAATTCCAAAGACCTGGAGACACATCATTATTACACACCTACTAAAAAATAACAAAAAAAGCATTATATAATGTAAAAAAAAAAACATTCAGTATTGAATTCGTGGAATTGGAGGTATAAGGTTTCATACGGGCCTAGCAACAAACATTAGTTGAGCTACCTAAGAAAGCCATATCACTTTTGCTACACTGTTTGACATCTTTTCCAATTACCCCGGGGAAGAAAGCCCATCTCTATTCCTACTGCTCACCAGACATCATTCACCACTTCACTCGCTGCTTGGAAGATTAGTTTGATAAATGTTGATTTGGTATTGGCCTATTCTTTGTAAATAACTTGCATCCTAGGCTTTAATGTTTTAATAAAGATGACAAAAAACCTTGGTTTTTTGGATATGTAAAAGTTTCTCTTTTTTCTAACTATGTATAATTATATAGATTTTTAATGTTAAAACCCCTCAAATAATTTTGCTTTGGATAAAAACCCTTAGACTAAGTTTTTAACGGAAAAATTCCTAATTAAGTTTATTTACTGAATTAAACCCTATGTATACATGTGTACAGTGCATGTCAAAATGACCACTAGTACTGGTAAATTTTTAATTTAAGAGTTTTTACACTAACTAAACATAATTGATGTGTTTTACCACTAAAAATTTAAAAAACCAAAAATAAAAATAAAATACATTTATCTACAAATTAGTAACTTAAATTTGTAACTTCAGCATTTTAAAAATTTATGAAAATATATGAGTATGATTTTTTTTTTTATAAAAAAATCAACACTTTATATGTAGAAATTGAAAATATAAAAAACCAAATATACAATAAAAATTATTTATTTATTATTAAAGATATAAAAAATGTAAAAATAAAAATAGGCAAAACCTTAAAATAGAATAACATTATGTAAAGATTAGTAAATTAAATTTTCAAATGTTAGTTACTAGTTTTTCGATAAAGTAAATACCGATCAAAAGATCCATTACTACGAGTTAATTTATACATATATATATATATATATGTTGATTTTAAAACAAACCAAACCAAACAACGAAGACAGTGAAGTACAAAAGTAAAAAACATGTGGAGTCCTCTACAATGTTGTTGATGATTTAATCATAGATCTCAAGATAAATCTTTATATCTTATTTGATTTTTGTTTTAGAAATAAAGTTGAAGCGAAATGTTTGTGCTACATTTGTAGGATGTTTATAAACTTTCAAAATGGTCATCTTACTAGTTATTTTACTTCTGTATTTACAATAATCAACTAATCACAATAATCACTTTGATGAATCTCTAAGCTATTTATTATTCAATGAAACAGTTTTATTATATGGTTTTTATGTGAATTATGCAACACTCTTTATGATACATGAAGTATATATTAGGCACACAGACGCACACTGTATTAATGGAAACACTCATTGAATCTCTCACTCATTTGAACTACTTGCCATGCCGACTAGTTTAAGCAAGTTGCGATCTTCCTTGAACCTCTCTAGGACAGTACCTTTCATAGCATTATGTTGTGTGTCAAGCTCGTTAGAGGCCTGAACTATCCCCCAGCATTCTATCACTTCTGGTTGTATCCTGCTCGTCTTAGAGAGACTAGGGCTACCAAATGTAGTGCAGGAAAACGTCTGCCCTTGATCAAAGCTCGACGATATAAACAGACCATAGTGATTGATCTTTCCTCCGAATCCTATGCCGTTTGGTATGTTCTCTGATGTGAAGTTAGTTGCACACTGCACCATGTATTTAAACACATGTTAGAGAATATACATAAAGTCACATAGAAGAGTAGAGACATACCCATTGAATGTTTGTGTTGGCTCCAGTTGGTCGGAAAAGAGATGCTTTAGGGTTAAGCTGGAAAAGAAAAGACTTCATGTCTCCATAGAAATCGCTGTGCCTCTCCCATGGTTGAGAAGCGTATCCTCCATACACACATCCGTCTCTGTCTTTAATGATTAACACTGATGCAGACATACCAGTGTTTCTGCCCAAGATATAATCTCATTAGTAATCCATCAAAGAAGGTTCTGTCTTTGATTCTTGCTTAGTCTAGTTGCAAAAGATAAAACTCACGCTGTGTGACCGAGGAATGTGTTAAAGCTTTGACCGTGTAAAGAACTGTGATACAGCAGTTTCCACTCTTCAAGCTCGTGGTGAGGAAGAGCTCCTCCAATATGCCAAGCGTATTCCTTCTTCAACAATAGTATATTTGAGTTCACACTATCCTCATAAAGCAGACGCGGGACTTGGTATCCAGGTCTCGCTACAAAGAAACGTTACCCTTTTTGTCAACAAGAAGAAGTGTGTTAAGAGAAGATGAGAGAATAAATGAAAAGGAACCTGGACTCGGTGGTGTAAGCAAGCTTCCAAGAAACTTTCTTACAGTAGGAACGTGTGAGCACCAGCTTCTAAAATCCTCAAAAGACATTCCTTTATCAGAACCATCATCACCAGGTTTCGAGAAAGAAGCAGCGTTGAGAAGCGCATCAACCATCTCCTTGTAATCACTTGTTTCCGAAGCATCAGAGCTCTCAGTAGTGGAGGAGAAGACACTCTTGAAAACCACCAACAGAACCATCTCTAAATCTGACCTGAACAACATACCACTTTAATATCAACATTTAAAAGCAACCTTGATGATTAAGAGCCGTTGATGATATCATACCTTGTCAAAACCCCATTGCCATTGACATCTAAAGTCTGGTAAATAAACTCAGCAATCTCATCATCAGTTCCTTTCTCATAGGTTGCCTAATAAAGTAAGTAACATGAGAGTTATGTTCTCAACACAGTAAACCTCTGAAAGAAACAGAGACTTTTACCTTAGCAATAACGAGATCTTCATAAGTCAATTTACCATCTTTCCTGTGTTGAGTAACCATATCAAACATCCTTTCTCCTAAAGAACCACTCAGACCAAAGTAGGCCTAAGAACCAAACCCAAAACACACAAATCTTGTCAGAGAAGGATCCATTCATATTATAAGAAACCAAGAAATCGTCAAAACCTGGAAAACGGGGTAGGAGACGTATGAGTCATTGCTCTGAGATTGAGAAGCGAGAGAGACGAAGAGTGATTTGAGATCTTCAAGCTTCTTCTGAGTAAAAGCTCTGCCAAAACACACACAATTTGAGATGATAAAGGTTTGAACTTTCAATCAAGAAGATGTTTGTTAAAGAACCTGCAAGCCGAAGTGAATCGTTGATTTACGGTAGATGAATTGGAATTTCCCATTCCTCCTCCTCTATCTTCTTCTTTTCCGACAGAGTTATGCCTCTGTTCTGTTCTTGTATTATTTGTTTTTGATCTCTGTTTTTTTTAATTTACAACTTCACTCCTTGAAATTCTTAATATGTTTTAAATTAACCCCGTTAGTTTTGATTAGTTAAAATAGATCCACTGGGAACATCAAAAGTAATAAAAGTTTTGACTTTTGTGATGACTTGTCAGATGCATTAGTTGAAAAGCTGAGATAAGACGAGGAAGGAGGAGTAGAGATAGGTTCATGCTTTCGGATTTCAACTGGTGAGTCTGATCAGTTAACTCTGTTTTTTAACTTTGACTACAATCCTCACCTTCTCGCTCTCTATCAAATCTACAGTTCTGTTTTGACTTTTTGTGGGTGTTGTGTCTGTTTTGACTTTGTTTCTCGTTTGCCATGTTTGATTGGATCAGTCAAAATCTCTAGAATCTCTTTTGGAAGTTGCAAAGTTGAAATCTTTTTCTAAAGTTATTAGTTTAAATCTTTATTAAGTTGAGATCTTTGTTTATGTAACAGGCTAAAGCCAAGAGAGTTGTACTAATAAAAGATCAAACAAGGAAGGACCATTGTTTATCTGCAAGATGACGAAATCGTGGGTGCTTTTGTTTGTTCTCATGTTCATCGTGTTGACTTCTCAGTTAGAGTGGAAAGAGCAGCTTGAGAGTGAAATTGAGGCTACTCGCTCCTTGATTCAATCAGATAAAGAGCAACACCATATACCACACGGCAAAGAATCTCTGCAAGAAAAGGTTTTGTCTTTATTCATTTCACATAATGTTTCATTACATGATCTGATAACTATATGAGTACATGACTTATCTCTATTTTGTGGCAGAAAATTCTGTTACAAGAAAAGAAGATTCAGAGGCTTAATGACATGGTCCAAGATCTAAGGAGGCAGTTGGTGCAATGCAGGAATGAGAATCAGGTTGAGTTGACTGAGCTATTAACTGAGCTTGATCAGCTGCCACTAAGTGGTGTGTAGTCCATTTTTTGAGTTACAGGTAAATTGTTTTCCCCCTAGCACATGTTCCACATGTGGTTTATTTCTTTCCTGTTAAAAACATATGTGATTTGATTTAGGATTTAGATATGGATGGCTACAATCAACTGCCAACTAATCTGATACACTAAGAGATATTGTTTAAGACAGAATATGGCAGCATGCTTTCTAAGTTACTATCTGGGCCATGCTTATTAAAATGAATTTTCCATATGAATTTCATTTCTATTTGATCAAACACATGTATCTTTTTTTTTCTTGAATGCTTTGCTTGCTGTCTAGACCTTTTACCTTAGAAATTTCAATAGATTTGGACGCTGGAGAATTTTTTTTTTTTTCCCAGGACTCAGAACATTGTTAAAAGGTAGTTAAGAACTTTTACTAGGCTGTCTAGAGATATAATAAAGGGGGGAATGAATTTGCTAGAAGATGATATGTTTCTCCTAAGTATATCCATGTAGAAGTTCAGTGGCCATATATATGCATGAAACATGATTTGGGTTCTTATATCTAACCTTAATGTAACCTGGAGACAAATGCCTTCATGAACACATTATTGTAGTGTCTCACTTTGACTATAGATATTGGTAAGCAGTTGCAATATCCTTCTGAAACTAGTTTGCGTATCTGTTTTTGACTGGGGAATTGCCTGTAGCTTCTCTGCATGAACGTTTTATAGTTGTTGGCTTTTTCACTCTACTGAATCATGAGTACTTTATTCTGATTCACATTTTTTTTTGGTGTGTGCAGATAGAAGCTTTCTCTCAAGCACTTGACAAGCTTCAAATGTTAATCAAGATTCTTTAATCAACCCAATACCCCTAAAAAGCCTTGTTTATAAACACTGCACTTGAAAGTTCTGTGTACTTTGCTGGAGAAATCAAAGAAGAGTGGTCCGTATAGTGGAACTGCATCAAGTGTGTGTAGCTAAGAATGCTATTGGAATCTTTCTCTATCTCTCTTGGTTTCGTTTATCATTGCACTGAAAGTGTTGGACTAATGGGTGGACTCAATAACTTGGACATTTATGTGAAGACCAGAGTCTGCAAAAAAAAAAAGAACAGGACGCACACAAACAAACAAACACTCATGAAATTGTTGTTAACGAGTAATTTGTGCCCAAAACCAATTACTAATTTTATTTAACATTCCAATAAGAAAATTGGTCAAATCAACTGAATCTTATTGAACTTTAGCTCATCACAAACCCTTTATGAATCTTGAGATGAATGACAGTTGCCTATATATAAAAAAAAAAACCGAAATAACATTTTCATTGCGTCGGTAGTTTCCTTACTTTCGAATATCAAACGAGAGATACGTCCAAAAAAAAAAAACACTAACAAATAATAATTTGTTTTAGCTTGATATTTTTCGTTCTAGCTAGTTTCCATTGGAGTTTCTTGTTTAGAATGCATTTAGTTCATGCACAAAATTACATCTTAATCAAAGACAGAGAAATAACTTGCTACGTAGCAAGCAACGAAAGATCCAGCGTTCGAGGGAAAATCAAGAAAGACAATAAATAATCTTACGTGTGAATTTTAAGTTTACGCATCATAAAAGAAACGATCGAAGAAAACTTCTCCATTTATATGATAATATTCACGAAAATGTATCTATAGTTCAACGCGCATGCCAATGATAATCTCAGTTAAATACGATGCTTCATATATCTAAAGTAGAGCTTTATGTTAAACCTAATACGAGATGAACTCTTCAAATTGCAAAGAGAAAACATTGCATTATTTAGGTTAACAGGCAAACAAAGACACAAGTTTAAGACACAACAACAAGAAACATGACCGACGCTTGACCAAAACAACAAAAACTAGAAAATATGAAATGAGAATGCAAAGACATAACAACAACAAACTTTATTTCGAGACACAATTATTTTCTTAATCGACAGCTACTTCATTAGGCATCGTCTGCACCACCAGATTTGCTGCTCTCTCCTTGATGATAGGTCTTCTTCATCTCATCATCCACGTCATCAGATGGTTTCATGTTTCTCCCTCCTTCGTCAGGTGCAACATCTGAAGCCTTTGGGATATCATCTCCAAGAACTGGCTCGTTGATGCCACTTGTAGATGAATGTTGCGTATCTAACTGCTGGTTACTCAAACATGCTTTTAAATAATCAATTTGGGTTTGAGAAAGGTCACCATTTTCGATTTGGAACATGATCCGAGACTCCAACTCCTTAGTTACCTTCCGTTCATGTTCTAGTTCCTTCTCCTTCAACTCGACTTCGGTCTTGAGGCATGACACTAGATGCTCAAGTAGTATTTCCTTTGCTATCGCTTTTTCATCTTTCATCTTTTTTTTTTTTTGTGATGTTGAAAATATAGACATGCGCACTTGTAATCTTATATATAGAAAGAGTTGAGAGGAAGAGATGAGGACGCAAAACTGAATTTTATTGAGTTGTATTGTTTGAACTACTGTTAAGTGTATATTAACTACTAGCAAATGTACCTACCTTCTTTAAAGTCCAACTCTCCGAGAATGATAGTTGGTAACAAAGATTGGTCACCAAACAGTTAAAAACACATTAGAAAGCTCACTTACCGCAATGTGGTTAAATCCTTTGCAGATTAAAATCTCGAATGTTACATACGTGCGACGTTATGGTTAAATCCTTAACGGTTTAACATGAAAACATTTTGGTTGGCGATTGGGATTTTAGGGATTAATTATAAGACCTCAAGAGGAAAAGTTGGGGTTTATTTATAAATAAAGGGTTAATTTGGAGGAATTTTACTTAAATAAATAACTTTTACTTTAGGGTTTATATTTATATCGCAAAGTCTTTTTTTATTTTCCCATCGGAGTTTGATAAGGACACAAAATTGAAGTTTCCGATCAGTTTTGTAGTGTTTGAACTATTGTTAAGTTGTTGTTAACTACTAGCAAATGCACTAACCTTATAGTCCGAATCTCCGAGAATGATAGTTGGTAACAAAGATTGGTCACCAAACAGTTAACACACATTATAAATCTCACTTTCCACATTGTATTTTGGTGTTAATATTCAACTACATTTAAAGATTCATTCACTGAATCACTAACCTCTTTTCCTTAGTTTAATTGGTAACGATGAATAAACGGAATAACCTCAAACAATTTGCTTATGTTGAACCCTAGAAGAAACATAGAGTTTAAATACGAGCTGAGCTTAGGGAAAACATTGCATTATTTAGGTTAACATGCAAACAAAGACACAAGTTTAAGACAAAACAACAAACATGACCGAAGCTTTTGACTAAAACAAGAAATATGAAATGAGAATGCAAAGACACACCAACAACTTTATTTCAAGAGACACTAATTTTATTAGGCAACGTCCGCACCACTAGACTTGCTGCCCTCTTCTTCATAGGTCTCCATGTCCCCATCTTCATCCAAGAACCACTTGTCCATTTTATAGACTTGACTTCCCCTTCCCATTGGGGATTCAGGTTCAACGTCCGTAGCCTTTGGGATATCATTGACACTTGTATAAGGATGTTCCGTACCCGTAATCTTCTTACTTACATATGATATTAAACTCTCAATCTCGGTTTGAGAAAGAGCAATAAGCATTTTACCATTTTGAAGTTGGAAAATGAGATGATCCATATCCAACTCCTCGATTACCTTCTCAATCATTTTGGTATTGGTCTTGTATGACGAATCTTGATCCTCCGTCTTCATGTTCCTATGGTTTTCAGGTAACGCGTAAAACAGCTCGACGAGAGATTGAGCCTCATGCCGAGTTGGCCACACGACCAACTTATCGTCATCACGGCTGAAAAAGACCAAACAATCACTCTTATTACATAAGATGTTTAGTTCTTCAGCCTTTTTCATCCTCTTCTGGCAAGCAGTTTTTTTTTTCTTTCGTTCCTCGATCCAAGCAAACTTTGGTCTTGCCATGGCCGTCAGCTTTTTAGTTCTTAATTTCTTTTATTTTTGTGATGTTGAAATATAGACATGCATGCACTTGTAATCTTATATATAGAGAGAGTTGAGGACACAAAAAACTGAAGTTTCTTTTGAGTTGTAGTGTTAAGTGTTAACTACTAGCAAATGTACCTACCTATCTTAAAGTCAAAAATCTCCGAGAATGATAGATGGTAACAAAGATTGGCCACCAAACAGTTAAACACGTTATAAAGCTCACTTACCACATTGTGATTAATTAGGTGCTAATATTCACCTAACTTTAAAGATTCATTCACTTAGTCACTAACCTCTTTTCCTTAGTTTAATTAGTAACGATGAATAAACAGAATCACCTAACTGTTTCAGCGGAAGACAATAAAGCGGGAAACAAGAAGTCTAAGTTTCAAGCAGAACCAACAGTACCCAACTTTCTCAAGGTAAGATAAATCATAACTATCCAGACAAGACTTTAAGATAAGTCTTAAGTCATGTAAGAACAATCACATGTATAAGGAGATAAATAAGCAAATATGCTATAAGATTTCTGAAGCTATATGTTTCATCATTAGTGAGTTAATCTCAAGACTTATTGTTGCTTGTGTGGTTTTGATCGATGCAGTTCAAGGAGGTTACATACAAGCTGGCGATAAAGAAACTGACTTCATCACCTGTGGATAAAGAGATACTCAATATTGTTTTTCTATTTTGATGACATGATCGGGTTTGTGACTCAAGACGATGTTCTGTTTCCTCATCTTACCGTGAGAGAAACGGTAACCTACGCTGCACGTTTGCGTCTACCTAAGACTCTTACAAGGGAGCAAAAGGAGCAACGTGCGATTGAAGCTATCCAAGAGTTGGGTTTGGAGAGGTAAGTTTCATCTTCTATAGGTTCCAGAACAAACCAAATGAAGTATATGGTCTTCTTTTAGTAACTTGGATCATCTGTTGGAGGTGCAAAGACACAATGATTGGACATATACATAAAAAAAACATGATATGCATCCACATTCGGGTTCTTATATCTAACATCTATGTAACTAGGATACAATTACTTTCAAGAACACATTATATAGTACGTCTCGCTTTGAAAATCTCTTCAGTAGATATTGGAAAGTAATTGCATTATCCTTCTTAAACTTGTTGTTTTTGACTGTGAAGCCCCTATAGCTTTCTATGCATGAAGCTTTTATTGTTGATGGGCTGTTTTTTTTCATTTTGCTGAATCATGAGTACTGAATTCAGAATCACATTTTTCGTGTGTGTAGATTATCACACACTTAACAAGCTTCAAATGTTAATCAATATTCTTTAATCAACCTAATACCAAAGCCTTGTTTCTTAAACAGTGCACTTGAAAGTTCTGTGTACTTTGAAGGAGAAATCAAAGAAGAGTGGTCCTTGTAATGGTACTACATCAAGTATGTATAGCTAAGAATACTTTTGGAATCTTTGGGGTGTAATTCTACTCTCTATCTATCTCTCTCCTCTTTGGTTTTCTTTTATCATTACACTGAAAGCGTTGAACTAATGGGTGGAGTCAATAACTTGAACATTTATGTGAAGACCAGAGTCTGCAAAAATAGGACTCACACAAACAAAAAAAAAACTCTTGAAATTGTAGTTACTGATAAGTAATTTGTGCTCAAAACCAAATAGTAATTTTAAGTGTTTTAAATAACATTCCAATAAGAAAAAAATTGTCAAATCAATTGCAACTAAGTGAAGCTTGGCATTTTACAAAACCTGTGGAACTATAAACCTTAGATGGATATCAGTTGACTATATACCATTTTAATAGCGTCGGTAGCTCATCTTAGAACTCAAAATGTGTTGGACGTTATAGATAATATAGAAATGTAAATTACTATCTCAACTTCGTCACATCTTTTTGACTTTTAATTATTTAAGAGTTTTGGTGATTTACACCACATGAAATGGATCCGTTGTTATCGTTTCTATCTTTATGATCCTCGCTGACCCAGTATCCACGCATCGTTATTTATGTACTTCCATATGCATGAATTGTCAAGATATGGTGTTCAACCCTCACTATATATTTTATTAACATCTCACGTTTTATTGAATATTGAAAATATATTTGCTTTTTTTTCTTTGTATATAGAGGGCATGTATCAACATAAACTCCAAAATTCATTTCTAGAAACATATGCTATGCAAATGAACAAAATTCACTGGGTCACTCTTGGTTTTGGTCATTGCTTCATTGTTATATACAAAATTACTTTATACTTGAAATTGTATTGGTGAGATCTTGGCTTTTTTACTTATTACGTAACGCGATGAATAACTAACTAAATAATATAACCACAAGAAAAGTAACTACCATATAACTAGACTCTAAAGTCAGCATAAGTGTTTGTAAATGCGCCCACGTCCTTTACACTTAACACGAATGCTAATAAGTTTACAAGTCAACTAAACAGTTTTTATATATCCAGCTCCTAATGAGCGAGATCTCATTATGTGAATAGATGGGAGATGAGAAACAGAAACGATAAAGTAAACGAGCTAAATTTTATTTTACTTTCTGTCTGTTTTAATTACCTTTCAACACATATTTTTGGAGAAAATGTCTTTGTAAGAAAAGAAAATAACCGACTTTGTATTATAAGGTGCTTGGCTATAAGGTTATTGTGATCACATCAATTACTCAGCGGTGTGATATATGTGTAGAAAACCAGATTGTTAGGAAGTTTTATTATGTTTGGTTATTGTGTTGCAAGATACGATCTTCATATGATGGTATGATCTTTGATGCATGTGGTATCAAGTTGCACATTGATTGGTGCAATTAAGGGGTACCCAATTTATTGAGAGTAGCCGAATTGTTAATGCTCGCTTTGCTTGTTTTCTTTGAATTATAGTATTTTGCAAGCTCTCTTCTATTAAACCAAAAACAACAACAAAATCTGACTAAGACTAGTCATAGTTAGTTGTTTGAATTACTATCGGAGACATGTATGTATGTGTGAGTTGAAAATCTGAAAATAAAAAGCTGAGTAAGAAAAATAAGTCCTTAACATTCATTTCACAGTCTTACGCATCCAAAGATTATATATGTATCATGACACCATTATATACATTAAGACTGTTGCCTTACTATATATATACTAGAATGTACAACTTTGCAGTTGTGTTATTAACTTATTATTATTAGAATTGTATAAGGAAGAAACGTATTCGAAGCTTCTTTTCTTTTACTTAAAGATAAGATTTTTTTGGTCAAAACAGAATGATAAAGAAAATGTCAAAATGGGACCAAAGGAAGAAAAGAGAAGTAGATTTACGAGGAAGAAGGAAGGTAAGCTAATACTAAGAAATGGATTGGTCCCACCCAAATCCTCAACGCAGATTCATTTCTCTGCTTCTCTCACACGCTCGAGAATTCCTAAATGTTAACTTTTTCATTATTACAGTAATATTTGTAATGGTTACTTAACCTTACTTCCCTTTATGATGTATGTCAATAATAAAACAGCTCAAGACTGTCACCGTATATCATCTAGAGACTGAAGACTAGCACAACACATTTTACAAACTCAAAAGATCTAGAGTTTCTCCAAGCTTATTATGAGTTAAGTCTTTTAGATTATAGTTGAATAGTGAGAGTCCTCCACTCAGGTAAATGGTTTGGTATCTAACACATAGACATGATTGATAGCTTAATATCCACACCCACATTTGACATAACTGGTTATTCATTAACGACTATGTAACTTGACTACCAAACATTGGACCCGCTTGAAATGCTGCATGGGGTTTATTGCTTACTCTCAACTGATCTCATACATCCTCAAATTATAATTTGTCCCCAAAATTTAAACAAGCGGGATACATAAAATGCAAATGTGATATTTAAGAAAATAGTAATGGGTAGTTTTGGAATTGAAAAATTTATTATTTTGTCTCCCTCTCATAAAACGTTTAATAAAACTAAAGGCCAGTAGGGTGGTTCACTTTATATATTTGCCTGTATTTGGGTTCTCTGTACCAATTCTGGTGTGTTGCCATTTAATTTTGTTTGCATTTCTTTAATTTCAATTAAATTTCTTTGACTGTACATTTTTTTACTTCTGAAGTTATGTTTTTTTTTTCTCAATTTTTATTATAGACATCTAATTCAAGTTGGTTGCCATTTAATTTCTTGGTTCCATATATTAACTCCTACGAAGAAAATAAAATAAATAATGATGGCCTGTTGAGTATTTAATTTGATTTCTGTGTATTAGCCCATTAAACACCTCTCTTGTTCTTTTCCTCCTCTATTTAATAAGCAATGAATTGGGTTCCTGCAAATATCTACTTATTTCCTTGTCTATTTATTAATTACATATCTAAAACAAAAATTACTGGTTTAAAGTTGAAAAGTAACTTAAATTCGATACTCTTGAGGCAGCAATTAACCGTCTGATATCATCTACTAGTATACTCCAATTCAATCTTTATGACTCTCTCTCTCACTCACAATTAAATTAAAGCCTTAATGAAAAATCTATCAAACTCTCTCTCTCTCTTTAAACCTTCTCTGTGTTCTTTCTTGTATATAAAGACCTAAGCCTGAACCAACCCAACCACCAGTTAGAAGAGAGACTCTTTGTGATTGCAAGTACGAAAAGTCTTTGAGATCACAAGAAACTCTCCTTCTCAATCCGCAGGTTTCAAGGTATTTTTTCATCCGACCAAACTCACTTTAACTTGATCTCTTCTTGTCTGAATTAGTTTTTTTTTTTAAACAGAAGATGAGTCGTAGAAGTCCAAAGCTTGACCTTAAGTTGAACCTCTCACCTCCTACGTCAAGCCGAAGGAGGATGGTTCGATCTCCAAGCCGCTCTGCGACGACTTCACCAACCTCACCGCCAAGCTCATGCGTCTCTTCGGAGATGAACCAAGACGAGTCCTCTGTGAGATACTCTTCTAGTCCAGAGACAACCTCGATGGTTCTTGTCGGATGTCCACGCTGTCTCATGTACGTTATGCTCTCAGAAGACGACCCTAAATGCCCTAAATGCCAAAGCACCGTTCTTCTTGATTTCAACCATGAAAACGCCTCAAACGCCAACGCACGCACTCCAGGCGCTGGCTCCTCTGGTCGTAAGACTCGAAGGAACTGAAAAAAAGACCAGTAAAACCCTCTTAAAATCCTGTCTTTTTTTTATTTTAATTTTTCGAATGTAGTAGTTGTTGTTTTATGAGAGTAGTGCTAATCACGCTCCACTTTTAAAACCCTGAGAAGAAGGTAGGGAGATGAAACTAGGGTTTCCTTACAAAACTTTCATATCAAAAAGGGTGGAGCGCGAATAGCACTAACTTTTCTTTTCTTCTTTAACATTTTTCTACCATTTGAGTTCTCTAATGGAAGAAGAATTTCTTATGTAATGTGAAAACATGTGTCATTGTCTCCGTATATCTACTCTTGAGTTCTTATAAATCAACAACGGAATCGGTGTATTGTTTCTAGGGTAAGTCTAAAAGTTAAGCATCTATGTTTTCTTTATATACTCTGTTTCTTGGATGTATAAGAGAATTAGACGTTTTGTATGTGTTGACTATAAGAAAAAAGTAGACATTCTTAGCGTACCAAATAGATTGCTTACACATCACGAAAAGGAAGGTTAAAAAAGAATTGACAAGTGAAAGATATAGTGGATTGATCCTGATCCCCAGAAAGAAAAAAAAGCTGAAGAGAAAGCTATATAGATTCCTTGTACTTGTTGAAAAAGCAGTTCAGATGAGAGAAAGATTGAAAGTCTGGTTAGAGATCAGACAAGAACTTCTATTTGGTCCCACATTGGTACTTTGACCCCACAAATTCATACACACGTACCCGAAACTCCCCCTGTTTTCATATTCATTAAATTTTTATTTTTAATGTTAACTCGAGATAGATCTCTCTCTCTGATAACCAAAAAGTCTTCAGAGTTTGTAGCCTAACCATAGGCACTAGAAACTGATTTTTCCTTTTCCTGCAAAAGAATCCTTAACAAGATTTTGTCCTCAGCAAATTGCATGTTTGATCAAAGACAAAAGCAGACAAATATAGAACATGAGTTTGAATATGGCAAAAGAATTTATCAGAGCTAAACATAGTTAGATTAGGTACTTCTGAGAAATGAATATGATTGTAAAATCTATTAAAAAATAACTGCCGACGAAGATGTACAAAAAAAGTGAAAATGAAATATGGAAGAGGAAAGTAGTTCAGAGCATTTAAACAAAAATAAATAAATAAACGGAGAAAGTGCTTCGATTTATATAAATGTTTTTGATAACAGCTGTTCAAAATGTTAGTAGTAAGATTTAGAGTATCATTAAAACCAAAATATAAATGCAATAGTAATTGAGACAGTTGAGAATTGTAATGAGCGTTACGTCAGATTATAAATACGAATTTAATTCCACCTTCATTGCTCTCTTCTTTCGCTCACCTCTTCAGAGAAAAAAATAATTATTATCATGCTCATGATGATGCTACGAATTTTATTTGTTTTTCTCTCATTTCTTATCTTTATTTTTTTCTTCGTCATTACACTAGTTGACATGTCTTTAAAATAACTTCATTTCTCTTCTTATCATTCACTAAATGCCACCTTTCTGTTGCCGCTTTCCAATTTTAGCAATCTCATCTTTCAAAGCTCCATGTTCCCTTATTCAATTCTTGCTTCCTACCTCTCCTTTTCTCTCAATTATAACGATCCTTTGGTTAACCTTCTACATTCATACAGTTTATAATTCATAACCCCACATAGAGCCAAACTGGTTAGATGGTATTAACTTCTTTTAGGTTATTGGAATTGACATCAACCGAAGTTTAGAGACTTTCTTTGTTAATTCTTTACATGAACATTTCTATAGAAAGCTCTGATATTGAGGAAGAGAATACTCGTAAAAGTGTTAACCCCTTAAGGTTTCCGGTTTGAAAAGATTATATGAATATATTAGAAAAAAAATGTGAAAACTTTCCTTTATCATTAAGAGGAAAAAATATACTTTCTAGTACACCAATTAGTCATATATAGAAATGTTGTATGAACGTTCTTGTTAAATCTACGAGTTCCATCTACTGAACTCTAATAGATCATCTAATCATATTAATGTCGGATGTTAGACAAGTGTATATGTGAGTTTCATGATGACGAGAGGAGACATGTGAGTGATGAAAAGATCGAGTAGATAGATTGGCGTCTGGAGGGAGAGAGAGTGGAGTAGTATATTTGGTGTGGGCACATTCTCAAATAAGAGGCCCACCAAAGATATTTGAGGACCAAGAGGTCAACAAACCACACAGCGCAAAACTATAATAAACGTACTTATTTTCCCATACAATTGCACGTCCACAAGAACAAATAAAGCATGCAAAGCTCATCCCTACTCTTGATTCTTGTATCTGACAGATTGAAGGATAAATGTTCATCCTTAGTTTAATTAGTCTCAAGATATATGTATGTCAAACTTTTAATTTTTATATTTTGACCAAGTTTAAAGAAGGTATGTATGTCATACTTTTAATTTTCATATATTTTTTCTACTTAATTATTGCTTCTATAAATGCATTTAAACTTGAGTGGTTGAAATCTTTATATGCTATTCTTTATTGTGAGTGCAGTACACATTCAATAGTTTTCTTTGTATCTTCTATAATTTCCTCAGTTCTCACTGCCATCTTTGTATAAATTTATAAGGAGAAATACTGTCAGAACATTAAAACTTAAATTGTTTTTATTAATTTGTGGAAAATTAACCCGCATATCTTTGTATTACTTGATGGAGCTTTTATTTTTGTACTATATCAATCATGGGAATACTTTTGTATTACTTGATGAAGCTTATAACATATTTAGTTATCCTTTAAATAACTTTATTCTTCTGGTGTATTAATATCTCATTGAGGGTTATACGAGTTAAAAGATTTCATAAGCTTCAAAAAAGGTAATGCTTCCAACGGAATATTATAAGTCATCAATTTCTTGCCAATGAATAAGTTTTTCAATTATTATTCTTTAGTTTTTCATATTGTTTTCTTTTGTTGCCAAAGTTTTTCATCTTGTTCAAAAGACTAATGGATGTACATGCCGTTTGTTTCTTCTTTTTGTGGTAACCCGAGATAACCTAACGAATTCCACATGAGTTCAAGACTTCAGGTTCATAAAAACACATGCATACAATTAGATTCTACAACACATAACATCAATTGCAAGCTTTGAGGGATAGATCTATACAGACTTGCGTCTAATTGGGCCTAATTCTACTGAGTGGCCCATTTGTTTTTGTCTTGCTAGCCTTTTGCCCAGTTTCCTTCAAGTCAACTCTCTCTTTTCCTAATTGCTGTGATCCACAATCTTCCACAGTATATAAACCTAGGACACAAATTATTTAACAATTATCCTAATCAATTTCTTCAAAAATCACAACTTGCTTTGATTTACATTTTCTTAATACCAAATACAAATCGAAACCATTAAGTTGGAGAGTTTGGTAAAGGTAGTTAAACTTATCATTAAAAGTTTTTGTTTAAATACACACTTTTATAAAATAATACACAACATTTAAGCATAAATATAATATTTTTATACATACAAAATAATAATGCGGGTTGAGTTTGATCCAAAACGGTTACAACGGTTTGGCAGAAAAAAGGCAACTTCCGGCATCCCAAGAAATGCGACGTTTTAAGAATAAATATAACGGAAGCTTCTTTTTCAAGCAACCTCAAACTTTTCCTTTGCTTCTCTCTTATCCTTTTAATGCTTTAATCATTTTATCATCAACTCCACTTTCCCTATGCTTCTTCTTGTTGGGGAAAACAGGACACGGCGCAGCGGAATATGTGTTCAAGTTCCCCTGACCTTGTGTGAATATCTGAGGAAAATACTTCGACGATAGCAGGATATAATATAAGCGATAACTAAATGAGACAAGCACTTTTTACGTGGAAAACCTCCTCGATGTGAGAAGGAAAAACCACGGGACCGTAGTCCACTCAACAATCC